TGTAAACAGAAGAAAAAAAAAAGCTGTTTTTTCCACTTAATTCTTTGCAGGGATCTCTAAAGAGTGATTAAGCATACTCATACCTGATATGAAGGCAAACATAGATAAGTAAGCAAAAGGTGAACTACAAAACTTTCTACATCTGTCCCAAAGTTAGCTTAGAATGTCTCCACAGTGAGCTGCATCAAGCAGCTGGATGGGATGAGAACAAAGGGTGTAGTTTCATGGTGCAGCTGAACTGAATTACCAGCTCCCATCAACAACAATGGAAGGGGAGGTTTGCCTCCTCCTTAATCTTCATTTTTTTAACCCTCCCTCCTTTGAGTTATAACAACATGTTCTCCCTTTTGTCTGCAGTGGAATGAATCTGACTGCCAAGAAATTACTTCATTGTGCTTACCTAGCAGATGCTTGGTGCATTTCTGCTTGGTTAGTCTTTTTATCAAGTTGAATTATCTTAGTGTGTGGTCACCACCACCACCACAGTTTGGTCAGGGTGAGCAGGACCTCCTCTCAACCAGGGGTGAGCTGTAATTCTGTTCAAACTGCCTTTAAAACTATGCCCTGACATTGCAAGTAAGAAATAGGTTTCTGCCAGTTCAGTTTCTTGAACTGACTCCTCAGGGCATTATGTGTATACATACCAATGCCAGCACAAGAAGAGTTTAAATAATAAAGCAGAGATGGGGAACAGGATAGGAATGCCTGGCTTAGCCATTTTGGTAGTTGAGCTGCAGCATGAAGTGTTGTCTGAAAGTTTATCATTGAAACATTGGAGTTGGTGAGTTGTTTCACTATTACGCATGCTCTTCAGAGCAAAGTCACGTCATTTATTGGAGGTGATTAAAGTGAAGGTATCTCAGTACACAGTCCCATTATACAAATACTGGAAGTCACTGTGTTTAAAAAACAAAACAAAACCAGCACAAATAAACTGACCAACCCAGGGGATATATTGGCATTTATGCATTTTAAACAGCCTTAATTTTGTTTTCAGGCTTATTTCACTACAGAAGTTTGAAAACACATCATCAAAACAGGGAATCTCTTCTAGAAAGCCTCTTCCACTACTCTTAAAAGTAAAACAGAGTATGCTTGCTCCTAAGAGCAAGAATACAGGATGCCTATATCAATTCTGGATTTGGGGAAGCTGAGTATCTTCATTATTTTTATTAGCAGTGTTTGATAACACTGAATTAATAATAATGTGAAAATACCAGCTCTGTCTCATATTTACCCTTCTTGCTCACAAGAGAGATCTTGTTAAAGACAGATGTTAACATCAATACAGAATTCTGCCATAACCAGTACAAATTCTGCCATGCTCTTGGTGAGCATTTGGCAGTATGGCAAAGAACATAAAGTGCAATGTTGCAGAGATGCAGTACGGTTTAGTTCTGTATTGGGACTTGAAAAGGTCGACCAGTATCTGTTAACTGGCAGGCTGACTACTAAGAGGTTAAGAAGTCTGTTCTGGAAACTTTTTACTAGAGAATGCAAAGTTTAGCTATAAATAAGCTTATGTGTGAGGCTTTTACAGCGGCACTGCTTTCATCGCATTGTTTTGAAAAGTAGCTCTGACTGTTAAGGTTCTCACAATTAGAAAATGATACTATGCCTAGAAATTGGGGGTGAGTAAAGGAGATAGAACACCATGAATCTAACTGTTAGCTTGTGTACCAGAGGTATGTTCTAGGCCACTTTACCATCATGAGTATTTTCTGTTTTGTCCTGTGGCTCTATCACGCTTTCTTTTTTTTTTTCATCCTCTGTTTCTTGTTTCTTCACCAGATTCATCTGTAAGATCCAAAGTAAGTGTGTCTAAGCTCCAGGGCTCATCTCACAACAATTTATAGAGCTGTTGGCAAGTATAGGAAACTTTGTATGGCTTTGTTATGTAAATTGCTGTTGCTGTAGAAAGGTGTGATTTACCATTCTCCTCCATCACTGGTACAGCAGTAGCATTTGCATGGTAATATATCACGTGCAAGTTATTCCTTGGGCAAGAGAACTAACATGAACAAAAAGAAAACTTTGCTGCTGTCTGTGAAGTTACAGATGTATCAATACTGGCAACAGGCAGAGAAGTTGGAAACTCAGGCTGAGAAATAGGTTAGGGCTAGCCCTTTTGGTGACAGAATTGTATTGAATATGGTAGTAATGAATCTAACATAAAAAAGACCTTTCTTTATTGTTAAGTCTGTGGACAGAGTACTTGTGGAGGAGGCTTGGAGAAATTAGACCACTCACTTACTGAGTTTGTGGCAAAAATATTAATGTGTTGACATACTAATTTAAAGTAATGGTGTGACAGAGAACATTAAAGAGAATAATTATAATTTTGCAGTGCTGTTGGTCTGATAGGGAAGAATTTTTTTTATTCTTCATGTCTGTGTCAATTTCTATAAAAGTTGTTTTCCAGATTTTGCCTCCTGTGCAAGTTCAGTATTTCACTGCAAGCTTTTGCTAGATGAATAATAAATTACACTTTTCTTTTCACTGTACTGTATTGTTCATTTCTATGTGCTGCTGAGTTGGTGCAATACAGCTATAGCAGGAATAATTAGTATTCAGTATTCTTGTTGGAATATGCTAATTCTGCAAGATGAAACGCTAGGAGTTTTAGAAAAGCCTAAAATAAAGTAGCTATATGCTCTGTTGGTAAATATGACTAAAATTGAAAAGGTGATAATCATACTTTGTTATGGGAAGGATTGTAGACCTGGCTTTTCTGATGGGGAAAATGATACTGACGTAGCTTAGTTTCTTTCAGGAAAACAATGTAGAAAATGCTAGACACAGTGATTGCAGAGTAGAAGATGTTACCACTGCCTCAATATGCTGATTTAGGGGAACATGTATTCTCGATAAAATTGGTTTAAAGTGCTCAAGGCACGCTTTCTTGTGCATAGGTCTTTAAACTACACAGTGAATCATAGAATAGTTAGGGTTGAAAAGGACCTTAAGATCATCTAGTTCCAACCCCCCTGCCATGGGCAGAAGTAAAACTTCAAGATTAGCTAACAGTTTATTGTGTCTGAAAATATCTGCACAGTAGACTTAACATGGGGGCAGTCAAAGGATTTGACTTTGAAGTAAGTCAAACTGCTTTCAAAATATTGGGCATTTTTTTGTAATTGCAAGCAACTCTTGTTCTTCCTGTAGCTGAGAAAACAGTACATTTTTGAGTTGTGCAATATTCCAGGTGGGAGAGAACATCAGATGGTCTCTAGTCCACAGCAGGAACAGTTCTGAGATCAGACTAGAATTTCAGCATTTTACTTACTTTACTCTCATTTTTTTGCAGCTTATCATCATGGGCACAGTATTTCTGGTACATCAGATTGTGACAGAGCGCTGAAATAACTCTGCAAAAAGTTTATCTGTCTCACACAAAAGTGTGTCTGTCTTAATTAAATAGTTCTCTAATTTGCATTAAAGACATTAAACTTTTTTTAATGAAGTAGTACTGATTTCTGGCACTGTGTGTGTAAACAATGCAGTATCTTGTTGCTAGTGTTTTATTTAAATGAAGAAAAAGTGATAAAATACATTGTCTGTCTTGAAAATCTAGGTGCTCTTTAGATAATGATTTTACTGCAGGTCACTGCATGCGGAAGTGGGTTAATGCTTTTCAACACAAGCTTCAGTCTCCTATGCTCTATGCGTATGCTTGTCATCTTTTGTCTTAGCTAACAATGCAGCATGCTGGTGGGTGATTGAGAATGATCTGCAGTGCAGTATTTGTATAGTCTTCCCTTCCATGCATCAGTCAGGGTTTGATATACGGCTGTGCACACTTCTAAGGCATCCAGTTCTTGTCCTGGTCAAGAGAGAGATCTCTTTCTAATTGTAAGAGCAGAGCGAGCTTCAAAATGAGTTAACATTTAAGAAATAACTGGGGTGGTAGATACTTCCTAGGAACACTAGCAAAGTTAGAGTGAAAACCAACTAGCTATACGTATAGGTTTTCTGCATATATAACTACTTTCATTAACATCCTGACTTTTTGTATGCTTGCACATAACCATTTTTCCTTACTAAATAAATATTTTTTTCCTTACTAAATAAATAAATAAACGTTTCATCCCAAGTAAAAACTCCTTTATACTGACACCATTCATTCTTACATTAATACAGGAATACATGCATTGGTATTAAACATCTTTATAATGCTGTCTGCAATGAAGAGGCTGTATATAATCCAACTACATTGTATGTTTGAAACAAAGCACATTTACTACATAAATCCTTTCATGTAAGAGTTTGCTAGTTTTGTTCATATAAGAAGCAGGTATTGCACTGTTTTTAATACCGCTTTTGTCAGGAAAATTCAGTGCTTATGGTGCTTCATAATTTGTATATGTACCTTTTAAGTACTGCCTAGTGAGTATTTGTAAATCCATACCCAAACAAACAAGGCATACAGCTGAGTACTTCATACTGCATTAATGTAGTGGTGTCTGTTAAATCTTGCAAAATTCTTAACGCTGTAACTACAGTGTTCATACCAAAACAGCTTCTTTTTTTAAACATGATATTTTATGCCTTCTAAGTTGTGCTTCATATTAATTACAAAATTGACCTTCAAGCACTCCAGTTGCTACTAAAAAATCAGTATGGGTTCAGGAGTTGGATTTACCCCCTTGATTTGCAGTAACAAAACTGGCTTTGTTCTCATTTCTAAGATGTTAATTATGTACCTGCTGATGTCATGGTCAGAAACACACTTCTGTTCTCAGGGAGTTTATTAGATTGTTGCTCTCTGGAAAAGCAGAGAAGGAAGAATAGGAAGTCTCTATGTTAGTTGAGTAAAAAGATACAGTTTAAAGATAGCAAATACATTATTACTTCTTAGTATAATCAGACTTTAAATTCTACAAGGATGTCATTTTCAGATAAATATAAACATGCTTTACTTACGTGAACTATATTTTCCCTAAGATATTTTCACTTTTGAGGCTATAGATGTTAAGCATATTATTTCCTTTCTTTGACAGGAAATTCTGGTGATTAAAGATCATGGCAACCATAGAGGAACTGGCCCATCAAATTATTGAACCGCAGATGGGAGAGGTACATAAATTTTTAAGTCCTGTTTGAGACATTGAATGATAAAATGTACAGACTACTAAAAGTAGTTATATATGTAGAAAAATGTGATATGTAAAAGTCAGAATCACAAGAGAAAATAATTTTTAGTACACCCAAAGCTTCCAGACTCTCTACCAGGGAAGACTGAAAAAGCCCTATTATGTCCAGTTATTAAAGTTATGCTGCAAATTCTTTTTTTGCCAAAGTTTGCCCCACAGAAATGGAGCTAAGGAAAATCTGGCAGTGTTTCCAGGAAGTGGGTAGCTCTTCACCTCTGCTTTTAGGGCCTCTGGTTGCATAATGCTCACTTTCAATTGCAAAATCCACAATCAAGAGAGTTGTCAGCACCTAGCTTTTACTTTCCAATTAAGCAATTGCTTCACTTGTCATTTTTGTTTTCACTAGTAAAAGTTTGCCATACTCCTCACTGTATTTGTTGTTATAAGTCAAAACCCAGATTGAACTGTTGTTTCTGCCAACTTCTGTTTTTCATTTTCTGTAGTCTGTATGCTGCAGCCAGAGAACTTTGAGATGCACAAATAATTTGGGAGTGTAGATAAGAGTATACATACTTATCTAGAAGGTTTCATCATAGCATAGCCTATTTAAAATTAGCATTGCTTTAAATTAGATAGAAGCAGTGACATTTTTTTCTTTTAGCTTGAAATATCTCCCACTGGTTTCTTGTCTAGACATAGTCTTACTCCTCAAGTAATCTTAGTTCTTCTCAGGCTTGATTTCAAATAGCAAGGTGTGGAGGAGGGAGTATGGTTAATTCTGTTCTGTATAAATTCTTACAAATTTTATTGTTGTAGCATCTTGTCATGGTTTAAACCCATCTGGCAACCCAGAACCACGCAGCCGCTCTCTCACTCGACCCCCCACCTTCCTCTCACCCGCTCCCGGAGGGATGGGGAGGAGAATCGAAAGAATGTAACTCCCACGGGTTGAGATAAGCACAGGCCAGTAACTAAGGTATAACACAAACCACTGCTGCTGCCACCAATAATCATAATGATAAGGGGAATAACAAGGGAAGAGAATACAACCGCTCACCCCCTGCCAGCCAGTACGCAGCCCGACAGAGCAGTGATCTAACCCTTCTGGGTAACTGCCCCCAGTTTATATAGTGGGCATGACGTGCTGTGGTATGGAATACCTCTTTGGCTAGTTTAGATCAAGTGTCCTGTCTCTGCTTCCTCCTGGCGTCCCCTCCTCCCTGGCAGAGCATGAGACTCAGAAAGTCCTTGGTCAGACTAAACATTACATAGCAACAACTAAAAACATTGGTGTTTTCAGAGCTGTTCCCAGGCTGAAAGTCAAAACCACAGCACTGCACCAGCTACTAAGAAGGAGAAAATGACTGCTACTGCTGAACCCAGGGCACATCTGAGTTTTGCAAAGACTGTATCAGAGGACATAAGTGATTTATGTGATGTATGGTGTGGTTTTTTTTTTCTCTCGTTTGTCCTCTTCGTAGGTGAGAATGGCATGTCTAGTGTAGTTTTGGTAATATAATTCCTTATGGAGGTCTAAATAGGGCTGTATTTCCTGATTTATTTATTTATTTTAAATAACAGGCTAGTCAAAGGTAGCTAAAGTGTACGTTCCATTCAGAAAAGAGGGTGGTGTAATGATGGTGTTTATTCTCTGGGAGGTTGTTTCTCAGTTTCACAACGTGATTCTTTGAGATACTGAGCTGACTTAAGTATCTTTGTGCTAACAGAGGGATGGTCCTTTTTCTGTTTCTGACCTTATTTCATTTCCACACCAAGAGCAAGCTAACCTGCCCAAAACAAGTGGAAGGCTTTTTCCTGGGTTAGTGTGTTCAGTAGGTTCTGAGAAGGCTCTAAGGAATACCAGAGCCCTTGGAAAGGAGATGGCTGGTAGCCAGGGGAAGGCAGGGGAATAGACTGAGGGAGTGGAGATGCAGCACTACAGAGAGCTGTTGGCTGTTTCTGTTCATGGGGAAACTTCAGCCTTATGGTTTTTATGGATATTGTTCTGTCATCAGTGTAGATTAGGATTCGTCCTATAGCAAGATTTTACTGAGCCTGAGGCCATCACATCTTATTTGGCAGCAGTGCAGGCAGCTTAAGCATTCCCCAGTCCTCACTTAGCCACTTACTCTCATGCTCTGCTAGTCTTGCTCATGTAAGCTCTGTGTGTCATTGTGTGGTGAACAAAACTGGGGGAAGAAAAAGAATTACAGGACAGTGGAAGAAAAATCTTCTCCCTCCTAGTTGGGGTCAGTTCCCTTATGTAGTACAAGGTGCAGCCCAACCTGGCTCTTGCTTAGAAGGACTGAAAAGCGTCACCGAGGGCAGTGCAAGGCGGGACTCTGTAAACCAGAATTACTGTCAAAGGTGCATGCCATGTGTGAGTGCACTGCCTGAAAAGTGGAGTCAGCAGGGAAAGTGGGGGGCCTTCAAGTAACAGCTTACATTCCTACCTACCAGTGACCTACTGGCTGTAATTGCTTGGTGTTGTTCCTACTTGATGTAAGCATTAAAATGGTGGTTTAAGGCCTATGGAACTTCAGCAGTGGTTTTGCTAGCAGTTGTAATTCTCTTGATTGTTGAAATGATTTTAATTGAATTTACGGGAAAAATTTACCTGAGCAGAGCATGCAAGAAAGAAGTGTTTCCATTCTGAGGAGAATGGGAAGTACTTCCATGTCTCATTGACATAATGGTCATAAATGTTCTTTGACATAGGTCTTGGATTCTTCGTAATATTAATTATTGTTTGTGAAACATTTTAAAACACAAACTTATTCACAAACAATTTTATGATGATGTTCACAAACACTTGTTTTTGTTAATTTAGGGCTTTACAGCATGAAAGCAGAACCTACTAAGGAAAGAATTTATAGCCTTGCCTGTATGGAGCATTGCACACTGTTTCTCTTTAATTCTGCCAACTGCTAATCACCTTTTGCTGAGTGTGAGATAATATTTCTATATCAAGATCACATTCCTTGATTCAGGTAGGGAAGTTGCCTGCCAAGAGGCCACAGCAATCTTCTTTCTTTAAACTGTCATTGGGTACCTTAAGTACCCAAAAGCATTGCTTTGTTTCCGCAGGATTTGCCAGTAACAGGCAAAAGCTATGCATTTGTTGAAAGAGTCTGTAATACACATACAAAACACAATTTTTAGCAAATATTGTGGTTGTTCTTATTAGTATTTTTTTCAACTGCAATAAAAACTCCCTGTATTCTGTTGTCCTGTATAGAAGTAAAACTGTCAGGCTGGTACTTTGTGGTGTTGAAGAGCAGTTTTGCCTTACACAACATGTGGATCATAACATTTTAAGGGAGCAAATGTGAAACAGTCCTGCAATACGTAGCTTATTTTGCAAAGCAAAGATAAATTCACACAAAACTCCAATTGCCTGTAAATCACCTCATGTATACGTCATTTGAAAGGCTGATGCACAATTTTAATGCTTGAAAGTATCTTCCAAACTGTAAATTTTGCTGTATAATGAACACTTTTTTATCCTTTCCTTAAGCAAAGAAGTAGATGGATTGTTTGAATATGGAAAATATTCATGCTCATGAAAAATTTAGAAAGCCATGTTTGAAGATGGTTTGGGCAGTAGTTTGACAAGCATTGATGATGCTGGCAGTTTGAGTGATCCCTGCAGCAGCTTAATCCCACTCTCTCGTTTGCTTTGATGCGTCTGCTTCTGAGCATTGTGGAGATCGGGATTGAAGGTTTCAGCTGTGCTAAGAATAGCCTTTGTCTGTCTGTTTGCTGGGCTGCTTTTTAACCTGAATCAGTGTCCTGTTCCAGATCACTGAATGACTGACAACCAGTTTTACCTACCAGGCTGAAGGGATAGGAGCAAGTAGGTTGTAAGAGCTGAGACTGGTACCACAAGTAATGCCTTTTGGGTTGAAATGTCAAAATCAGCTTAGACTGATGTGAGCTTTTATTTCTGCTGCAAGGGGAAGTCTTACCCACTGCTCTTTCCTCTTCTCATACTCGCCTCCACTTGCATGTTCTTGACTGCATTTTTCTGCTGGTACTAGCATTTACATGGTGGTACAGTTGCAAAATTGGGAAAGCTGATCCAGAAGGAACAGAAAAGCTCTCAACCTGTTATGGAACAGTACCATTACTGTGATACAGGGAGGTAATTTATAGTAATTTGAAGGGGCAACAGATGGACAGGTGAAAAGGAGCATTTTATGATGGTGTAAATATTGGAAATTATTATTAATACAAAACTGTGGGACGTTCCAGAGTTTTTGAACTGCAGAAAGCTGAGGGAGTTACTCAGGAATTTAGACAAAAATTTCAATTTGAAGGTATCTGTAAGCTCGGTGAAGATAGGCTCCCTTTGTAATACAAAAAGTTTGTCCTTTCTGGTCAAGCCTCTACAAACAGCAGCTGTATCTCCTAACTTCTATTGACAAATAATGTAATTATACCCCATTATACCTTTGGCTATATCATGTGAAGAATTTTTGGAATATAATAGTTAAAACACTTCCACAAATAGTGTCTGAGAGTGCTCATACAGAGATTTCAGTTTGGTTTAAGATACACAGCTTGCCAGTTTAACGAATTTCATTGATGTTCTCTTAACTTTCTTGATAGTTCCCCAGTATAGAATTGTGTTGCTCTGGTTTTGCTGTTTCACAGAAAAGCAGAACAGAAAAGGCCGATTGCTGTGTTTCCGCATCAGAAATTCTTTTGTCACTTTGAATAAGCCATTAAGGTAAAAGTATTTAGTTGTAAATGTGGCAGAGCTATGATGAAAGGTATTATGTCTCATGAATATCAACAGTAATAAATATTCAATCTGATTGACTTACATGGGCTTGTCAACAGTGAATTGTTTTACTTAACATGTTTCTAAATTTCACATTGGAAGGTATTTCAGAATGGGTTTAGACAGTGAAATAAAACAGAATTTTCAAACTAGCAACATTAAGCTATTAAATTAGATTACAATCATTTGCATACCTTATACAGTAAGAGTGTCAGAGTTTCCGTAGCCTTGTGCAGAGTAACCAGAAGTTGGTGGAACCTGAAGGTTTCAAGCATTAGTGTATCCATCCTTAAGGCAGTGTGTATGTTGTCAATCCATTCTATTTGTTTCTTCTTTCTAGATTGCCCATTCCCAGGAAGCAGTTTCACAAACACTAATGGATGGGACACCACAGCGAATACAGATTGTCCCTGCGGATTCAGGCCTCTCTTTACCACAACGTATACAGGTATGCTTCCTCTCAGATATTTTAAAAGCAGATAGGAACTATTTACCAGTTTCCACATATGGTTCTTTTTTCATTTGCATCATATTATTTGCTTTAATGTGGATACTCAGCCCTGGTGGCAGAGATCATTTTTACAGAAGCAGGAATAAAACATCACTCCAATGCCTCCCCTGCCTTTTTATTATTTTTTTATCCTAAGAATGTTAAGGTTACAAAAAATTACAATCACTAAATAGAAAAATACTTTCCCTAATGCTGTAAAAACTACAGTGTATATATACATAAAAATACATAAAACACATACAATATTTTGTAAAAGAGGAATAATTTTTATATTTGGTAATTCAGCTGAGTTGTTGGAACTTTTCTACATTTTAGAGCGGGGAGGGAGGGAAATACTGCATTGTATCACTGATGCAAGGGATGAAAAGGTGCAAAGGAACCTAATGGTCTTAGAGACATACGGGTTTTTGGTTGTCCCAGCCAACGTTACATGTACTGGTATGCTGATCTGTAGCCTGGCCAGGTAATGATCTCCAATTCAAGCGAGGGTATGAACTTTTTGGCATTGTAGGTAGTTAAAACAACATAGATATGTGTGTATGGAGATTAGGAGGATTTGGGGAATTGAATTTTGTATCCTTATCCCTTGAAAGTCAATGCAAGTCCTTGCAAACATTTTATTTTAAAATTTTGTCCTAGAGAAAAGTATCAACTGCAGAATAAAATTTAAAAAGTATTCTTAGATACCTCTTGTTGCATACAAAACCACTCATTTCATCAGGGACTGTAGTAATAGGACAAGGAGTAATGGTTTTAAACTTAAGCAGGGGAAGTCTAGATTGGATATAAGGAAGAAGTTCTTTACTGTGAGGGTGGTGTGGCACTGGAATGGGTTGTCCAAGGAAGTTGTGAATACTCCATCGCTGGCAGCATTCAAGGCCAGGTTGGACAGAGCCTTGGGTGTCATAGTCTGGTGTGAGGCATCCCTACCCATGGCAGGGGGGTTGGAACCAGATGATCTTAAGGTCCTTTCCAACCTGAAACATTCTGTGGTTTAAAGTGAGCCAGCTGCTAGTATAATCTTGGCTGCTTTTATTTTTGCTGGCTTTACTCTTCAGCATTTTCCACTGTTTTTTTTTCTTCTTTTCAGTGCACTGCATTCAAGCTTTCAACCTTCTAAAACTCTTCACAACTGCCCTCATACATGATGTACCTGTGCTGTAGTCGTTGTACTGGTCCTATCTATCCATCCAGTAGATCTTTATTCTTTCAACTATCTCTGCTCCTCTTCTATGTTTGGTGTACAGCTGTACCTTTTGCTAACTAATTTATGTTAATCAGTTGACCACCATCTTTATATGCTTGGTTTTCATTATCAATACCTGTATGCTGTAATGACTCTGTGGTGTGAACGCATTTAATGTCATTTCAGCATCAGGGTCTGAGTGTGGGACGACAACATAAAAAAACCATGAGCCTTTATTGTTGTACAGCAGGACAGTTTTGTTGGTTCAAAGCCAGTGGCAGACTTCTAACCCTTCTGTGTCAGCTTTTTTGTGCAGGGAGAATTACTTTGGTTAGGCACTGTAGTTACTGCAAATATGATGAACACAAAGAATTATATTTCTAGGGACAGGAACCATTATGTAGTTTGTAATTGTCTCATGTAGTTGGAAGATCACTTGTTCCTAACCCAGCTGCTTTGTCCCTTGTCTATTTTCACCACGCTTGGTTTTTGCTTCAGAATGGGTAGTAAGTGCTTTGGGGCTGTGGTTGTCTCTTGATATATGTGGAACAGTGCTCAGTCAAACGGCAACCTTCCTGTAATAGGCCGCTACAAATATGTCACCGATATCCATTATAATAAGTTAGATATGAGGTGGAACTTACTAGTGAAAACTTTCCTCGAAGCACAACTTCCATAAAGAGTAAAGTCGTTTGTAGGCTTGTGTACAAATATATTTCAGTGAGATGTTCATAATAAATATTAAATTGATTAATTTTGAGTTTATATGTTCATTCAATATTTTTTCCTTTATTTTATTACTGTTAAATGCACATAAATGATTATCTGAACTCTTGAAATACAAAATCCTCAGTAAAATGTTTTAATGTGTTCCATTTGTCAGCCATTATAGGGAATGTAAACATTTCTCTAGGACAGAAGTTGAATGTCACATTTGTTGTTAAGCAGACATTCCTGTTCAAAACTGGCTCTATCATCAACAGGTGAATTAGTTCTCTGTGTTCAGACACTTTCTTTTTTCTAACACAGAATTTTTGAGGTATTTAGTTTATTGAATTATGTTCAAATGGAAGTCAAGACTTGTTAATGGACAAGGCTTAAAGCAGTAAAGCAGAATACTATCCTCCAGCACGAGCTACTGGGAAGGAGAAAAATAACTGTCACAGCTGAATCCAGGACAGGTGCTTATATGAAATACATGGGAAAGTAAATTTTTAAGGAGACAGTCCTTGCATTAAGATATTCCCATTTTATAACGTTATCCCTTTAGCGATAGTGAGTTTCAGATTATTAAGAAACATAATGAGTTGTTCACTGAGCCCTGATGGATTCCCTTGAGGAGATAAGTGGTTGATTATTTTTTTTTCTCTTATCTCAACACTTCGGTATTGCAGGTTGTTATGCTTTGGTGAACTGTTCCACTTTTCAGAGTCCCGTTGTGATTTAGCTGAGTTTTTGCAGGTATATGGCTGGAAGAGGCCAGCTGCAGACAGATTGTGCTTAATTGTTTAAACTGGTCTCACTTATTCCTGTCAGTTGTCAAGTGCTTGGCAGTTGTAAAAATCATATATACAGTTTGAATAGCTCTGTCTACATACTAACATAACACTATACCTACCGTATCATGTAGTGAAAATTACCTGGGCATCCTCCTAGAGTTCCAGAAAGCCATTTGAAGAATCAGGATACTCTTTGTTAAATAGGAGTTGCAGTGACTTGTGTGAAGTAGCAGCGGTTCTTCTACTTAATGGCCTGCTGTATTTGGCTCCAAATACATACTGGTTTTAAATTACGGTGCTGGACTTCACGAGCAATAAAAGATAGTTTAGCATATATATGCAAAAAATAGTTTGAAATTTAGTTCAAATTTGTAAAATTTCTATCTTCACTGTTTGGGGCATGCTGTTTTTTGACCTAGTTTTGTACTGTGCCTTCTATAAACGTAACTAGATCAAGTATATACCTTTTTTGATATACACATAGTTGCACTTTTAAGTATTGCTAGGGAGACAGATTTTAGATACTAGTGTCCTTCAAAGATCAGGTTTGGAAATTCAAGAAATAGCACAATATTCTGTATTTGGCTTTTGTACACATCTGCACCCTGTTAAGGATAACATGCACTGGAGCTCTCCTAATCCACATAAAGTAAATGTGTTTGGGGAGAAGAAGAGAACATCAGTTGCTTTGAAAATGGCCAGGAGTAACACTGCAAATGAAGTAAAACTGAATGGAAGAAGGAAGTTAAGCAAAGAAGGGAAAAGGGCAAGGAAGTTTGCTTTCTAAAGAATAGAGAACCAACATAAAGGAATTGAAAGGAGAAATAAGGGACTGCTCTAGTCATTGGGGGTCCTGGACATGTGCATATCTGAAAAAAATGTATGGAAAACCCTGTGTTAATCATGTTGATAGCTATCATGGGGGTTTTGCATTGTCCTCCCACCTTACACCCAAAATCTCATGATCATTTATGTTCTTTTCTTCTAACTTTAGCACCTGGAATTCTGTCATCTTACCTACACTTTTCTCTTAAACAGGGTTTTAATTGTTTGGCAGAGAAAAAAATTGAAATTTGATCCATTAAAATGTTAATAGCAAAAAACCATCTGAAGGAAACGCATTCCTTTTGTGTAGTTTGAAACTCATAATTTCATCCATAATAAGGCCCATATAAATGTTATGGATGGCGAGACGGGCATAAATGTTTGGCTATAACTAATCTTGATTATTTTCTCTGAGGATTATAGTCTTCCAACAAAGCTGGAAAAAAAATAGAGTTTAGTGGAGGATTATTTAATAATGTTTTGCTGTATTTGTGCTTGAAAATAGGTATAAAATGGAAAAAAAATAGTCTGTTAGTGTGTTTCTGGTTATGAAATGTAACATGAAAATAAGTTAATCCTTAAAAAGAAAAAGTGACAAGGAGAGAGATTCTAATTTACTTATTTTATTTAGGAGTATTTATGGAGAAAAAGAAAAGCCCTCAGAAATTAAGCCTAAAATGTACATACAGATGCAACAACATTACTGCTTTTCTTGCTTTTTGATGCTTACTTTTTTCACTTGGAAGTCTACGTTTGTGTTTTTAAGAAGCTTTTGTTAAGGAGCCAAAGCTGGGAGGTGCTAAATACTTTACCTGGTGTGATGCAGTGAATTCAGGAGTTAAGATCTCTCACAACCTGATGGGTCCAAGGGCTGAGCTGCAGGTGTAGCTCAAATTCTGGATGCTGGATTCGTCAAGGGTTTCAGTAGTGTTGTAAAAGCACGGTCCAGTTGTAAAACTTGAGTATGAACTCAGATTTTGACTTCAGATACCCTTGATTGAAATGTGTTTCCAATATAGTGAAAATCTATGGTTTCACCTGAGTTTACTTCACTCTTGTGTGACAGAGGGGAAGACAATCCTGCTTCACAGATGTTAAAGGCAAAATTCCTGTTTTCTTCAAGTGCCCAGGTGAACTTAAGTTACCATCACAATTTGAGATAAATGTATTTAAATTAGATTGTCACAGATCAGCAGACGGGCCAGAAGATTCAGATTGTTACAGCACTTGATCAGAGCACACCAGGCAAGCAGTTCATCTTAACAAATCATGATGGCTCTACCCCAAGCAAGGTGATTCTTGCCAGACAAGATTCCACTCCAAGAAAAGTTATCCTGGCAACTCCAGATGCTGCAGGTGTCAACCAACTGTTTCTTGCATCCCCTGATATATCTGCACAACACATCCAGGTAGATAATCCACTTTATTTCATCATTTTGGTTCAAATGGGATGAGAAGAGATGGTTTATTTCCAAATATGTCTTGTCTGGGTTCTCCTTTTTCTTTTCTTTTTTTTTAATGGCGTACTTTACCTTGCACAAGGCTTCAGTGGGGATAGTTAGAAATTATGAAGGAAAGTGATTTCTTTTCTTTTTGCAAATTTATTCCTTTTAAAATTTATACCCTGGCTCATGACATTGGAAAGAGTACTGTTATTTTTACTGTGATTTCCAGCTCCTGCCATACCAGTGGCCCCTTATTTCTGCTTCATTGACTCTCCATCTGTTTTTGTGTATTGTTGAAAAACATACTCTTTTCTCCATTATCACTTAACATTTCATTCCGCTTGTTTTCCTTTCCATATGCTGTTGTAACTACTGTTCAGCTGTATGGATTGTACTCCAGGGTAGTTTCTCAAAGAGACTGTGTAGTAGGGAAGAACCTTACTCAGTTGGAAGGGGAAAATAACGCTAAAGATTTGCGGTTTACTAATGCAAGTTTATAACTCCATAAACTGGTCCCCAGTGCACCTGACTCGCATGCACGTTCTATGTGTTGCTTCCTTAGTCCTCGCCTCCATCTTCTGTATGAATATGCAGAGACAGCTTGGGAGATTTGAGCTTCTTCAGCATAGAGTGAGGTGTCCCTGCCCAAGGCAGGGGGGGTTGGAAATAAATGATCTTAAGGTCCTTTCCAACCCAAACCATTCTATGATTCTGTGATTGTATGAATGAAATAGGAGGTTATTGCACTCCAGCTAAAGCACAGTTATTGCATGTTGTCTACCCATGTACATTTATGCTGTTGTTAAAATATGTCAGTGTGGTAGGCCAGGCAACATTAGGATAGCTACAATCCATTTAAACCACTATCTCAGACTTAAACGATGGCCAGAAACAGTTGCCTAAGGAAAAAATACTGAAAACTGGACAAGTAAATGGTTCTTCTGAACATACCCTTTCATTTCCATTAGCCAATGATTTAGAGCAACATCCTGGTTTGGAAATTACAGTGAGAGCATCATATAAAGTTTAACAACTTTTTTTGTTACTTATATAGACCATATATGCTTTGGTCTGTGTAATATCCTACAGTATAATTGTATGCTATGCAAACAATACTATACCTCATCTTCTGAGAGAAGTATTCAGTTTGGTCTCTACTGCACTGTAAGAGACAGCTCTAAAGGATCATACTGTTTTTATAAACCAATATTATATCCTCTACCAATTAATCTCTTCAACTGAAGACCCCACACCTATTTAGTTTGCACTCTTCTGGGAGCCAGTCCATTATTCTGATTCACTACCCACATATTGCTTAAGCTTAACGCATCTTTTTATTATATATTACATTATTTTGTATTTTAAACTTGCAGATCTTTGCAAATGGACATCCAAGATACTTGCTGCAAAGAATTTGTTAAGAGTAGGGCAGCAGTAGCAAAAGCCAGTCCCATTGAGAGGCATTTAAGCATTTTTAGTACTATTTTACACTTTGTATTTTAGGTAAACCTCAACCTCAAAAGTATAAACCAGTGGGATATGATTTAAAGTAATCCATACAAAAAAGAATTTTCAAAGACTATTTAAGAGATTAAAAGTGTGCCACACTGATTTAAAAGGCAAAATTCAGGAATGGAGGAAGTCTGGACTGAAAATGGAAAGCTGTGGTTTTGGTTGTACATTTTGGGCAAAATAGGTTAGTTTGAGAGGCATCAGGCTATGCTGTCTTTTCAGTTAGATTGCTCTATTGTCAGCTAATATGTATGGGTAGAGATTTCTTTTTTTCCCACTTTTTTCCAGTATTTTGTCAAATACAGATTACCATTCATTTGTTGTTCAACTGCATCCTCATTGGGATCTTTCGTATTTTCTCCCCTAAATGAGCTTTTCATTTACAATTTCACCTTTGTTGTTGTTCTGTAGCCTTCACTTGAAATGGCCATTTATTTGTTCTGAAAAAAACCCTCTCATTTATTGCATCTTACCTTTACATTGACGCATTTGGGAAGGCCCTTTCTCCCATCCTCTGATTTACCTTCAATGGTTCTTCTTCATTTTAATAATCAATTTTTATTCTTCATGTTCAAGGTCATTTGATGAGTTCTCAGAGTCTGGGATTTTTATCTCATGGGTCCAACTCTGTAGCACTTCCTTACATGGAACATTCCATTTCAGTACAGATTTCATTTATGGAAGGACTTAGAATTTGTTTATGTATATTTTATTTAACATCATGAAAATACATACTGTTAATAATGGCATTTAGAAAGCAATGAAAGGTTAATATTCTTTTAACTCATTGATACTGTTTTTCTTGAAAAGGTGCTATATAAAAGCAAACTAAATAGATGAATCTCTGAGACAGTATTGTTAACAAAGGCTAACTAGAAAGAAGTACGCTTGTGAAATGTGCCATTATGTATCACCTGTACTATCTTCCAAACGTCCTTAAAAAATTCTCTCTCTTTTGGCAAGTTGCCTTTCTTGTCATCAAAGGTCCTGTTTTGAATATGCAAAGCAAGGATGACAGAATCTGACTTCTTGTTAAGACACAGAAGAAGTTAGAAACTCTTCAAACTTCTGAACTATCATCTCTTTTTAATGGCAAAAATAATTTTTCCTTTTCTGCTTTACATAATTGTCAAGATGATTTTTTGGTTGTTACTCATTATATGTGTGTTCCTTTTTCAAATTGAATTTCTGATGCGCTTTATGTTGCAGTGGGATAGGGTTTTTAAAGATAAAATGGAAGGCTATAGTGCCTACCCCCTGTAGTGCTGGGGCTCTAATATTACGTGCTTACTGAAGCTTTACAGGTACCAGATATAAATGAATGAATGAGAAAACAGAACTGTAATAATGTCAAACTGTTACTGAAAGCCTAACTATAGACCACTTGACAGTTAATGGTAGTGTCCAGGGTACATTTTCTGTAGACCCACCATTTATGTGTATTATCAAAAAAGGAGTTAATAAACCTGAATGTAGATATCAGAGCCTTTACAAGGGATTTCTTTTATTCCATCCGTGTAATTCTTCAGTCTCTTTTGTACTATGAACAAATCATTAGGATATAAATAGAAAATTGAACAAAAGGTAAGAGTACGCAGATGCTGAATGTTTTTCAAAATGTCAGCCCATTTTGCAGGGGTAGTATTTAGACAAATGAAATCTTGAAATCTGAAGTATTACAAGCAAAACTCTTGTTCCATCCTGAAATGGAGCACAGTGGCATAGCAGGTTGCTCCTTTCTATGAAGACTGTAAAATGTAGTCAGGAAAGTCTTATACTTTTTACATTTGGTCCCCTGTCTTAGAGCAGAACCAGAAGCATGAGATATATTTTAATCTTTCTCAATGGTAAGAAAAAATGAAATACTTTCACACTTTTTTCCAGATTTTAACAGACAACTCCCCCAGTGAACAGGGCCTAAATAAAGTGTTTGATCTGTGTGTTGTATGTGGAGACAAGGCATCAGGTATTTACGTTTTCTTTCCTTTTTTTGTTTTTTATTTTAATGTGGTACAATTTTCTAAAAGCAATCTAGAATTCCTCTGAAGCTGTGTAATAGTTTGCATACATTTATCTCTCTGTGTGCACAAACAGAATGGATGCACTGTTCCTTCAGTGAAGAATTTCACTGAAGAGGGCTCTGGTGTCCGTGGGTGGGATTAATCATTGCTTTACATCATGAATGTAATGTTTCATACCAGATAATTTTTGCTTTTTTTCTATTTAGGCTGGTGCATTTTATTTTCAAATATGGAAATTTGACTGATAAAATTACTTAAGCAACAATCTTGAGATTTTTCTTCCTTAAAAATAAGTTCATGCAGTGAACTTTGTTACTGTTGACAGGTTCTCTTAAAATCTATGAGAAACCTGTTCACTGTTTTAAATATGAAACCAGTAGGCAAGGAAGACTTTGCAATTACATGAAAACAAAAAGCTGCTATGAGATTTTTGCAGGACAGTTGGTTATTTGAAGAACCATGATTAAAATTGTAAAAATGCATTTTAATTCCAGTAAAAAATAAGCTTAAGAATGGTATAGTCATATGTTGCCAAAGTAGTGTACTAAGGTAAGAAAAGTGTTTTATGCATTGCATTTCGTGTAATGATATTAAGAGACTGAAAAGAAATATGGAGATCTGTCTCCCACATTCCCTTTACATGTGTGCCTTCCATCAGGTGTTCCAGATCTGTCCAAGTTGGAATTACAGAGGGAATGTCTTGTCTTTTTTTATTAAAAGAAACAGGGCTGTTCCTCAGCATGGTCTACCTGAAGGCTCCTTTTCCTTTGCATTTTCTTTGTTGCGGAAGATAATGGGGTCTAAGAGATATGAGACATTTAACTTTGCTCTTTACTTACTTAGCTAAAATTAGTCTAAGTAGGGAAACGGTTGTTCCATTAGAAGATTCATGTGGTTTATGAGTGAAGTCTCTGTGATGGACTCCTAGTAATAGCAAAATAGGACAAGTGCAGTTAAATGCACCTTTTGGGAAGTGATGGGAATAAAGTCTATAGAGATGAGGGGCCAGAGGGAAGAAGTTCTTAATGTTGTCTGTCATCATGAGAAGTAGTAGGATGGGAAGTGAACTTCCTAGACTATAAAACCAATTAAGATTTTCCTACTGCAGCAAAGTCTAGCATTCAAGATGCTTTATAAAACTCCCATCTTAACAGTGTGTTAATATAATTGTGATAAAGGAGTCTAGAAAACCTGCTGAGAGTTCTAGAAACTTCAGGCAGGTGAGATTGATGTACCTAAAAATGTGAGGAGCGAGAAAAGAATCCAAAGATATATTTTCCCTTAAATGAGTTTGTATTTGAGATTTATTTCTGTAATGGGCCTTACTTAGTTCCAACAGCAGCCATAATGTCTCTGCAGTGTATATTTTGGGTGCTTGTCAGGGATCTTCAGGTTTAGAATATTTTTTTTCTTCAGGAACATTGCATTAAAATTGTTGGAATTGACAAGCATGCCTTAGTCAAAACCAGTGCTTTTTGGTAATACTTGTATTTTGTGCTCTAGCAGAGTAAAAATGATTTGCTGCTGAAAATACTTTTTAAAACTTGACTTTTTTCTTCAGTGTATCCTATGATTTTTATATGTTAGTTTTGAATATTGGAAAATCCACAGAAGAACTGATTAAAACCAAATAATCTAGCTATTTCAGATACTTCTTTCATTGAAGTTTTACTGAAAGAACTAAAGATGTACCATTCTCCTGTTAGGAAAATGAAAGAGGAAAGTAGGGCTTTGAAGTGATTACCTACTGCTGTCAAATGCTGTTTGCACTTTCCATGGTTCTACTAGATTTAGTGCATACAATTTTGATAGCTGAATTTGTAATGAGCAGTAACAGGGCTTGGCTGTAGGGTCATATGAAAAGAAATTGCTAAAGAATGTATAAATTAAGAGTTTCTTCTGTGTTCTTGCTATCCAGTTGTCTTACCTCTTAATGCTGCTGTCAACACATTCAGCAAGAATGTAATAAGCAACTTGTCTATTTGTAAAATCTGTCCTGTTTAAGTGCACTGAACTAGAACAATGGTTCACTTGCTTTTTAACATAATCTTACAGCCACGATATACATTAAGATCTGTAACCCATGGGGAGAAAAAGTGATCTTTTTTCTGCATGAAAGAGCAAATACTTCTGTTTTAATAAATACAAACTAAACAAAATTAATATTACAGTATAAAATTAACGTTGTGATTTATGTTGTTCTGTAACCAGGGCGTCACTATGGAGCAGTAACTTGTGAGGGATGCAAGGGATTCTTTAAAAGGAGCATACGGAAGAATTTAGTTTATTCATGCCGAGGAGCAAAAAACTGTGTCATTAACAAACGCCACCGGAATCGATGTCAGTACTGTAGGCTGCAGAGATGCATCGCGTTTGGGATGAAACAAGATTGTAAGTGTAGATTAGATTAGTGTAAATTATTTTAGCTGGCAGCTATGTTAAAGTTTGTGCTGTATTAATGTAAATTGTTGTCTTGTCCTTCTACCTTCTTGTGACGTTTTCCACAGCTGAGGTTACTTGCAATTGCTGTTAACTGTTAGCAATGCTCTACAGAGGCAGTTGCTCACAAGGCAGAGATCCATAGTGATCCAGAGTTCACTTCCTACCATTTCCATACATTGGATATAGTGATACTGAAATACCACAGCAGTATCACAATGCTAAATACGCAGAAAATCAAGCAATTCACAGATTGTTTTAATACTAGCACACTGTTAATAAACAGACAGTATTAGTCTTGTGGTCTGCTATATGTCATCCAGCTCATTTTTGCTGACCCTCTTGAACCTCTGTGGGCATACCTTCCTTACAGCCCTGCTTCTGTCAGCAGAAACCAGGAAAATTTTTCCAGCACAGAGGAAATGAATTCAGAAAAGATGGAAAAGCTGTAACAGTGAAAATGGATCTTTGCCTTTTTACCCTCTAGTTCAGCTGGCAGTATTTTGCCCCTCCACAGAAGACTTTTCAAGCAGAACAAAATTGCTGGGGTTGGGGATGAGAAGGCAGGAAAAGGATCTCTGGGTTGTGGGGGAGTACCAAGCAGAGGAGAGGATTGTTCTGGGATAAGAAGTCTCATTCTTTGGTGGAGTGGGGAGAGGAAGGAAAACTCAGCACCACCTTGTACTGTAGGTCCCTCAGTGGAGTTATTTGTCCCTTGAAGTTGTGGCCCGTTGTCAGCAAGCTCAGGTCCAGCTGGAGAGCACAGGTTTAGCAAAGGTAAATAAAACTTTGGCCTCCAGCTCCCAGCCTTTCAAAGCATGTTAGTGGGTTACAGGCTAGGTTTAATGGTATTGTCAATACTTGATGATGTTATGACATTTGGATTTATGATACTTTCCAATGTAAAAATTCAGTTAGCATCACAGTGTGCTACTAACTTTAAAGCTTTTAAATTTTTCTCTTTTGTTGCCCGTTTTCCAAATCTACATAATTGAAGAAGAGAAGTCTGTTTTTTTCCTATTTGCTTTTGTGTTTTAAAATAATGAGCATTCAGGATTCTCTTTATAGGCTCAAATAACTTATATGTGCAGTATAATATTCAAGAGGCTGTGATAGCCAGTAGCCAGTGCTTATCTGGCTGGTGAACTGGTGCACACTTTAAACTACATACAGGTCTGGTTTGTAACTCTCTTTCAGGATCTTATTCCAATCTATAGAATAACTTGCACCACTTTAAAAATGTGGAAGAACAACTTATTGCATATTTTTAAAAGAACAGTACTGTGTAAATACCTTTTATAAATTTAAGTTTTACAGTAATAATGCTGTTAGGTTATTTTGCCAGAAGTTAGGTTTTCCTTTTAGACTGTTAAACTGTTGAGGTTTTCCTGTTTTTGGCTTTATTCTGTACACCTAGAGAGTTCCCTGTAGCGTGTAATACTGTGAGTTTCATTTTGATGTTCTCTAATCCATTCAAAGCAGGGTGATGTATCTGTAGACTAAAGCCCAGATTAATTCCACCTAGTTTCACTGAGCAATTCAAACTGAAAATCTGCTGCTTCTCTGAAGTCAGTGATCGTGAGTCAGGATGTTGCCTGAAGGAAAAGCTGTAAGCCTCCACTTAAAATCCAAATTAAAAATAAGGTGTAAGGGGATTTCTTGCTTTACTGGAACTTGAAAAATATAGTATCTATATGTTTAGTCTCAGACTTTACTACATCATTTAATTAAGAACAAATCAAATTCAGGTTATATTTTTAGGCAAGTTGTTAGCTTATTGGTTATAGGATCTTTTTAAAGTTATTTTGAGAATCATTATTAAAATTGCAGATTAAATACAGAGAGGAAAAGGGGATTATTTCTTAGTCTGTAATTTGAGATGTGACTTAAAAGTTGCATATTTTTTTTTATTAGCTGTGCAGTGTGAGAGGAAACCTATTGAAGTGTCAAGAGAAAAATCTTCAAACTGTGCAGCTTCCACAGAAAAGATCTACATTCGGAAAGATCTTCGTAGTCCATTAGCTGCAACTCCAACTTTTATAACAGACAATGAAACAGCAAGGTATGTACGTTCTACTCAGAAGCAGCCATCTCTCTTTTCTGAAAGAGGAAAAGCTGTTATGAAATGAATCAGAATTAAAATGTGTGCTGTTTTCTGTCAGATCAACAGGTCTGCTGGAATCAGGAATGTTGGTTAACATTCATCAGTCTGCAGTAAAAACTGAACCTACTGTAATGATGACTCCAGAAAAGGTATCTGATGATATGACTGTAGGGTGTTCTGTTTTGTTATTGTAATGGATGGGAACCTAGCTTAAAGTTGATTCCCACTCATGACTGCGAGACACAACAAACTATGTCCCACTCATGACTGAGTATTTGATAAAGTTCATTGTGGCTATTTATTGGAAAGAGACAGGAAATAAGGGTGCAGGTGTTCTCTGACCTTCATACTTGGCTGCACTAGGGTGCCTGGCCAGTGTTCTCACTGTGGACAACAGTGAGATCATGAGAAACTGCATGGCCCCACAAGTAAACAATTACAGATCTGGCATAAAGGTGGTTGTTTTTCTAAAGGTATAAGAGTGGGACTCTCTTGTTGCTGAATCCAAAGCCTCACCTATGGGTGGACACACCACATAGGGATTTTCCCAGTTATCTGGAACTCTTGGCATAAGCTGCAACAGGGCTTCCCAGCTTGAAGCATGGGCCTGGATGATGATACAGTGGTAATTGGTGATGTATTTCTTCTTAATCACTGTTCTTTCTATGCAGTAATGATTTGGTACATTGCTAATTTTCCTCTTTGCTATACGTATATATATATATATGATTTGCTTTATTTGCTTGTTTACTATAAATATATATATAGATATACACCTGATTCATGTTGGTATGCTTGTTTGCTTTAGTGTGCTTTTTAATAAACTGTGTATGTTATATGGCTAGTGCGGGATCATTTGGTTGAGTACCCTGCCTGTTTGCAGAGCAGTCGTGCTTCTGTTTTGTTAAATTCATTTTTAGAACACTCCTTTACAAGATTAGCCAGTGTTGTAAATGCTTTCTCTTCTGAAGAATGCTTCTCATATAGAATGCCTCATATAGAAGAACATACTGTCATATAGAAGAATTCTGTTCTCATCTAGAAGAATGCCTCCCATAGTAAAAATACTAAAAACTCTGCGAAGTAAATGCCTTCCTCCACCTTTTTAGAGAGCTTTAAAGGCTGCATTATTTTATTGTGTAATGGGAAGTCCTGACACTTGGATATTTCTTTTGTAGCAATAAAATGAGGTGTTTGCAAAATCTCACATGGGATTATCTATCACAGTGCATTTCATAAATACTATTAGGTTTTTTTCCTACAAATCACTAATTTTTTGTAAAGCTAATAAGAGCTATCTCAGGAATAATCTTATTTGCAAGCTGGTTTTCCTTTGTTTACATTTTGTTACACTTACTGATCGCCTAAAGCCATGGAGTAACTTCCCTACACGTGCACAGTAGGAAGCTTTCTAGCCGATATTAAATTATCTGTTTTCCTGTGTTTCGCATCACTTGCTCTGTCTGCAAAGGGTCCCATCAGAACTTATTTATTCCATTTCACTTTTCTGGCTCTGTCAGTAGAATATGACGGTGCAAGCTAAATGACATGTAGCATGCTGATCATTATTTGTCATGACAAATGCATGATTACTTCTCTGTAATCATGCACTTTTCCTATATATGTTTTTTTGTGGGGCATGGTGGGAGACATGTCTCACTGCCTCTGAGCTGCTGCTCAGTACTGAATCAATTTGCTCCCTTGCAGTTAAATAAAGACATAAAACACATAAAGGCTACAACAGAATTCTTTTTCTGCTTGCTTTTAAAGGTGACTTTTTATCTATTTCTTCTTTTCAAACATTCTTCTACCCTATTGCTACTGACTCATTTACACAAGGAAGAAAGATAAAAATATAATCTAGTGTGAACCCAAGACAACTCTTAAAGTCCGGTGGCTGACTACTGAGTGGAGATCATAACTTCTCATTCTGCATTTGCTTGCCATTTGTAGCGTTCTTTCTGAAATTACTAGACAGTTATTGCTTGTAAAAGTAAATGTTTAAATGTTTCATATTTTAGAAGTAGTGCAGTGTCTAATTGCTGCATTATGATCACCCATTAACTAAAGCAAATAATTTTTCTTACAGGTCTCTTCACATGCTCAAATCTTCATTTATGTAGAAGTTAGATTCTTCTATTGCAAGTTAACTGCTGCCAATATGAGAGAATTAAACACTGTACTTTTTCCCTTAGGTTGAAGCCTGTCAGGGAGATCTAAGTACACTGGCAAACGTGGTGACTTCATTAGCGAATCTCAGTAAATGCAAAGACATGTCACAAAGCAGTACAGACCTATCTATGATTGAGAGCTTAAGTAATGGAGATGCATCATTATCTGAACTCAAGCAAGATGAACAAGCTAGTACTGATGTTTCAAGGTAAGGCATGTTACGCTTGAAAAGAGTATTCTTTCTGAGAAGGTCTCTGTCAATTCAGACTGTTATTTAAATCCTTACAATGAAGCAAAGTTATCTGCATTAAGAATAATAGTAATAGCAGCCTAAGCTCATATAGAACATAAATCTTGTAAGACTCTTCCACGTGAAATCATAATTAAATTATTTAATTTGTTCTACTCAGAATTAATTGCAATGTGTTACAGCTGATTTTCTTACCTTTTGGTTGGCCTTCATGTGCATTAGATCTTGTGCTACAGTCTTAGTACCTTTTATCATCCTGGAAAGCTGGTTTTTACAGATCCCATCTGTGTAATTATTTTAATGCCTGTAACTGTTAATTGCCTTAAAAACTTAAAAAACATTTTCTTTCTACACAGAATTCCCACCATCAATACAAACACACTCACTGAATGTCATAGAATCAGAGAACAGTTTGGGTTGGAAGGGTCTTTAAATATCATCATCCAACCCCCCTGCCACAGGCAGGGACACCTTCCACTAAACCAAGTTGCTCAAAGCCTCATCCATCCTGGCCTTGAATACTGACACGGATGGGGCAGCCACAGCTTCTCTTGGGCAACCTGTTCCAGTGTCCCACCACCCTCAGTAAAGAGCTCCTTCCTAATACCTAACCTAAATCTACCCTCTGTGAGTTAAAGCCATTCCCTCTTGTCCTGTCACTACTTGCTCTTATAAAAAGTCCTTCTCCAGATTTCTCATAGGGCCCCTTTAGGTACTGGAAGGCTGCTCTAAGGTATCCTGGAGCCTTTTCCAGGCTTAACAAGCCCAACTCTCTCAGCCGGTCTTCATAGGAGAGACACTTCAAACCTTTGATCATCTTTGTGGCCTCCTCTAAACTTGCTCCAAGTAGCTCCAATATTTTTCAGACTTCTGGTTTGCACTGGTTTTAACTGAGCCATTTTGGTGAGCATATGTGTAAGATATTCTGTGTACTCAATCACAATCATGTTCTTCCTTGGTTCTCATCTCATGGAAGATTCTGATAGGTGTCCAAGTCTCCTTTACACACCATCTACATTGTATGTGTTGCTTTGAAAATGTGTGTGTGGTGTAAATCCATCAAAGAAAAAAGATTGGTATATAGTGAAGTTGCTTCTTGTTGTGGTTTAAGCCCAGCCGGCAACCCAGAACCACGCTCACTCCCCACCTTCCTCCCCCTGTTCCCAGAGGGATGGGGAGGAGAATCAGGGATAAGACAAGAACAGGCCAGTAACTAAGGTATAACACAAAACCACTGCTGTTACCACCAATAACAATAATGATAAGGGAAATAATGAGGGAAGAGAATACAACCGCTCACCCCCTGCCGGCCGATACCCAGCCCGACCCGAGCAGTGATCTAGCCCTTCCAGGTAACGGCCCCCAATTTATATACTGGGCATGACGTGCTGTGGTATGGAATACCTCTTTGGCTAGTTTGGGTCAGGTGTCCTGTCTTTCCTTTCTCTCAGCTTCCCCTCCTCCCTGGCAGAGCATGAGACTCAGAAAGCCCTTGGTCAGACTAAACATTACATAGCAACAACTAAAAACATTGGTGTTTTCAGAGCTGTTCCCAGGCCGAAAGTCAAAACCACAGCACTGCACCAGCTACTAAGAAGGAGAAAAATGACTGCTACTGCTGAACCCAGGACACTCATACTGACTGAACCACTTAACATGGTTTTGGGCAACCTGATCTAGTTCAAGATGTCCTTGCTCATTGCACGGGGGTTGGACTAGATGACCTCTGAAGGTCCCCTCCAACCCAAGCTGTTCTTACTCTATGAAATAACAATATTTCCCCTATGGTTTCTACTGCTTTGTATATTATGCAAGCAGGGTGCATTTTTTCTGCTCCTTTCTTTCTATGCTACTTAGAAAGTCAATGTCACATTATTTGGTGTTGATTTGACCTTTTGCTGTGTCATCCTAGGTGAAGAATATAAGAATATGCTGTTTAAATAGTATTGTTGTATGTGCTGATAAACTTCATTTCAATAGTACAGATCTTCAAACAGCTGTGCTAATCTTTTGTTTCGTTATTTCCTGGCACTTTCACATACTTGCTTTTGCTAACTTCAGTGTTTCTGGTCAGTTTTAAACATCTATGAAAAGACATCCAGTTCTCTCAGCCAGAGAGCTTGAAAGAGCTCTGACTCAGCTTAATGTGTACCCTTGTCCAATAGGCTACCTGACAGATTTACAGTGGGGAGGTTCAAGTTAAATACTTCTATGAAAGGAAGCAGAAGTCACCAAAGGAGAAACTAAAATTTTTCATATAAATCTTTGCCAGGCCCTATGCCAGCTTGATCTAACAGACACAGATGTTCATGGAAGAAAAAGAGTTTAAGGGATTTCAGGAAGCAAATTTTATCCATCTGCTTTTCTTGTATTTAATAATATTCCACTGCTGAAATTCAGATCTTCCAGCAGAAGTCCAGTACAGTTCCTGTGGCTTACCATGAATGCATTCCCTTTATGCCTACTTTCTGTATGCTAGAGACAGAAAATGTCCCAGGTGTGTCTGTGTAGTTCACTTCCATCTATTCAGTCCACTTGTGCCTGCCCCAGTCGCCCTCATGTACACATCAAGGTATATAGGCTAGTGCAGGACCTGAGCCTAGTTCATTTACCATCACAAGCCTGAGGCTGTGTCAGCAGCTCTTTTATTGTGATGTTTTGTTTGGATGTAAATAATTATGTCAAATATAGTAAACATTTAGGGGGTTTAAAATGTTAATGAATTTAGATAGCTAGGGACTGTGGGGGAAGAGAAGGTGGCAAAGTTCTAGACTGGACTGTTATCAAGCAGCAAAATAACAAGTAATCTATATCTGTGCTTATCCTGACATCTCCCCTGTAATTTTTGTGCATGCGACAGAACTTACTGCCCCACATCAAAGGGTACTAAGGATGGTATTGAAAGCATGAGAATGCTTTCTCTTACATATTTAAGAATGGGCTTTTCAATGTAAGTTGAATCACCTAACCACAATAAAAATCTATAAAATCTGTATGTGCATTAAGCTGTTCTAAGAGCAGCCTGATGATCGTGTCCTCAGAGCGCTCATGCCAGCATTTTCAGTAAACATCACTAAAGAGATCTTGAAAGGCAAACTGTGATTCAGCAGCACAGTCAGTATGTCAAAACTGTGAATTCGTTGGCAACTAGTGTGAACAGGATCTGCTGCTAATTTTTGTTTCAGAGCCTCTGTAACTTGGGAGTTCTCAGGGATTTTGTTGGTGGAGTGTCAGGACGAGCATGCTGCTGACAAGATTTTATTTTCCTCATCTGTTTGTTTTTTCCTTTGAAACAGCTAAGTACAGGTTTCAGACATGTGCAAGTCCCTCCGAGATTGAAACAGTCCCTAACATTAAATTTTCTTTTCTTTTGTTTGTTTGGTTGTTGTGATCTTACAGGGCATTTGATACTCTTGCGAAAGCATTAAATCCAGGGGAGAGTGCAGCATGCCAGAACTCAGAAAGTATTGATGCCAGTGTACAGCTGATTGGTGGAGAATCAAGCCTGAACATCGTTGAAATAGAGGGACCACTACTCAGTGATGCACATGTAGCATTCAGGGTACTTAACAATATTTTTTACTATTGACTATAATCATTTTAACGTAGTAATATAACATAATGGTCTCATTAAATCTGATTTTGATTTTCTTAGAAGAGTAGCTATTTGTTCAGGTATTGTCATTCCTTTCTGATGAATGCCCCGCTTTTTTTCACTCATTAACTGCTTGGGAAGATGCACAGCTCTCTGCTGTGGTTTAGCTGCACTCTTTCTTTTGTAGCTTCTTTAAAAATACAAGGTGATCCATGCAGAAGGATTTACATAGACAAGTGTCACACAAAGCAGAGTCAGCATCCTCATTCTCCCTTGGTAACAGGTGGATCTCATGCAGTCTGCAACTGGATGTTGAGACTCCAGTGTATTTGCCAGCTTGTGATTATCTCAACAATTTTACTTTTTCACTTATTTTTTTTCTTACCATTTTTTTTGTGAGAAAAGTAAAATAACTGACTCAGACTTTATTTTTGTCCTTTGGTTGCCAGCTCACCATGCCTTCTCCTATGCCTGAGTATCTTAACGTTCACTATATCTGTGAATCTGCCTCCAGGCTGCTTTTCTTGTCCATGCACTGGGCACGTTCTATTCCGTCTTTCCAAGCATTAGGGTAAGTGTTTGGTTACTCTATTCACTTCATTGTGAATATGCATTTTTAAAGTTTTTATTTGCACTGTCTTCTTCAGGGACATGTTAAAATATAAATCTACTTAATAAAACTTTGATAGATCGTTGTCATGCAGGTAAATTTTCCGAATCAAAACTACTCCCAATTTCAGTCCAATTCAGGTATTTCAGTTCAGTTTTGAAGAAAAAAGGACATTTATAACTATCAAACACCTGCACTTTAATAATTTTTTAGTAAATAGGGCTTCCTGTTATTTTCTTGTTACCAACATCCCAAAGAAAGATGCTTATCAGGGAGTGACCAAAAAGAAGCTCCTCTCTGGATCCCCAATGTTATCTTTATAGGTGAATTAGTAATAATAGTTTTGCCTTCAATAACCTATATGAAGAAGATGGTTAGCTAGGTTCAGCAAGCATTCAGGATTCAGTTGATTAATTTCAGAGGATTGTCCAGATGGTTGCTGTAACCAGAAAATAATTCTTATCATTCTTCTTACAGTTTGTATAACATGCTGCTGTTGCTGCAGAATTGAGTGTATCACTTAACATTCTTAAGCTAAATGTAGTAGTCCATTGCTGATCATTACAAGAAAACATCTCAAAGCACCAGGGGGAAAAGTCATTTATGTGTTTTCTGAAGTAATTTTGTGAAGACACAAAAGATACTGTATCAGTTCTTCATGCAAATGCAGTATAAATCATGTTTGTCTTTTCTCATCTGCAGTGTTTTTCTGTAATGCAATATCAAAATAGCATGTGACTGGCAGCAAAGAGAATTCCTTTTTAAAGTGAGGGTTTGTCCCCTTTTCCAGGAAGGCTGCCAAAAGCAGTATGAGTTGTGATTGCCACTTGTATTTACTCACATGTTTAAGCCAAATGATTCTATGTCTAAGGAAGGATACTATGTGTAACTGAAGCCTGTGTTTTGGAGAAGGAAGAGTAGAACTATAAAGTTAAAACAACAGCAAGGGTAAAAAGTCAGGTAAATATGATGTTTTATTTTGGGAGAATCGTGGCCCTGCAGATTTTCAAAGTAAGTAGCAAATTAACATATTATCTTCTATCATTATGGGTTTTTTAAGGTTTTTGTAACGGAGAGATATTGCAAATTAGTGTTACAACAACAAATAGGAATTGCTTTTTAAAAATAAAATGTTGTACAGAAGACCTGTCTCTGTGAATAGATGTAACAAGAAATGCTTATAGAAAATCTGCGGGGCTTTTTTAATGTATTCCTTTCCAATATATTTTTATGTTTGAATTAAAAACATGGAGGAGTAGGCTGTTTTAATAGTGTTACTATTCACCATTTACAGTCCCAGCCAAGATTATGAGCAACAGTATAATTTAACACCATTTAACATAAATATGCAGTTTTCCTTTTGAAGAGCTTAAAATACTAACTTTTTTTCTTAAGTGGAGATTTATTTGAAACTGATGCAGCTTTTTTTAGTTTGAGCACATCATATTCTATAATTTTGACCTTTTAGAAGGATCACCCATTTCACTTTAAAAATGAAGAGAAATTCATGGTACTAGTAATTAAGAGAAGTTGATGAGCCAAAACGAAACCATAGTAATAGTTTCATACAGAAGATAGATAGTTCTGTCCAAGTGGTTCCTTAGTTTCCTTAGTCCTGGCAGGATAGTTGGCTTTGGCATACTGATGCAGTTAATGATACCAAAGTACTGCTTACTTCATTTTCCTCCATCAGGATCTTTGTAGGTAAGAGAGATTCCTACTGAAATGTTCATCAGACTGGTTACACAGACTCTTCATTTTTTGAGGCTGCTTAGGTTTGATCAGGTGGTTCTGGTCTAAATTCAATCATTCAGTTCTGCTCTGAGTTCGATCAGCCATAAAGGTGCTCTAGACGGTACATTTCTTTACACACATACCAGCTGAGTAGCCAGTACACCCTATTTTCAGTGTTCCTCAGCATAGTCCCTATGACAGGAGATAAATGAGGATGTGACAAATACGTGTAGAAGCTGCATGTACAGTGTCATGTCTTCCGTAACAGGAACTTGATCATAGTAAGAAATACTGCTCTAGGTAAGTTCTCTGTGATCCGGTACAGGACAAGTGTATATTAATCTTTTGTCATTTGGGCTATTCATCAGAAATGTTCTTGAAGATTACATCAGTATTCTTGCAAAAATCCATTCCATTGTATTTCTGTAGTTGAAATCCTGGCTTTAATGTGCTTTTCTTCTTTGATAGGTCTTGTGCTTCTTTTAAATTTCCATTATTTTTATTTACTGGCTAAAACTGTGAAACATGGTACCTGAAGTTGCCTCCTCACTGCTAGGATTTCCTTTTGAAGGTGCTGAGCTCTTGTTAAGCTCTACAAGTGAGAGATGCTTGGCAGTACTCAAAGTTAGGTTGCTAATATGGAAGTGCCTGAATATGGGTTCATATACCTAATTTTAAGCTTCAGCATTTGGGGAAAAAACCCTGACTACAGATGAAGTGTAATTTAAGGACTAATTCTTGCAGCAAAGAAATCCTTGTGACTTCTGTTTACACTTTGGAGTCTTGTATTTTGAATTGTGTTCCAGACATGAAGGTGATACTGAGCTTCCTGCCTGCTATTTTCTGTAACTTGATCCCATGTTTTCCATTTCAGATATATTTTTGATCTAAAAATTACACCAACATGCCAGATTTCAAGTATAGGAAAAAACCAAACAACAAACAAACCAGACCTTTGAGTCTGTTCTATAACAGTACAGGAACAATGCAAACTTTCTTTGTCCGTGCATGCAAACATTACTGGAAAATTAGTGTAAAACCTAAGAAAACCAGCATGATGGAATGCACCTAGACATTGTCATTTACTGTCGCTTCTGCTTTCTTTTACTGTAACTGCAGCTTTTGTGATAGAAATCCATCCCCTTTTAGCTCATTAAACCAAAAATTACTTCTTTACAAAAGTCTCTCTAAACCAAGTATTTTAGTCTTGATGTGCAAGTAAAACTGTTTCTGATGCAAGCTTTCATTTTGGTACTAGTTGCAATGGCTGAATTAGAGGAATATTTTATGATTCCTTCTTCAGGTAAAACAAAAAAAAGTGAATGCAAATGGCTGGGGTTTTTAACTGAAATTGCTGTAATTTTTAACAGGCAGGACAACAGCATATCATTAGTAAAAGCCTGCTGGAACGAACTTTTCACGCTTGGTCTTGCACAATGCTCACAAGTTATGAATGTGGCAACTATATTAGCTGCATTTGTTAATCACCTTCATGGCAGCTTACAGCAAGGTAAGGTGTATGATGTGCTCATTGCCAGTCTTGGGGAATTAGTTCATGGGTTTTAAGCTTGGAACTGCACAGAAGCTTTTGCTTATCCTTCAGCTGTTAATGAAAATTTACTGTTTATAGAGTTTTGTTGATAGTACAGAAACAAATTAACAGTAGAAAATACAGTTCACAAGGTGGATTTTTTTAGCAATTTCGCAGAAGTCACCTATGCTAATACTTAACTCCCAACTTAAAAAAATAAATTGTCCGTTTATCTAATGTGGGTTAGCATTGCATTTTCTGGGGTTGTTTTTAGTGTGTGTGTGTGCAATATCTAATAGTGTTGTGCTGTTCTGTTAATACTGTCAGCTCAAATTAGGAATATTTCAGGCTGTTCAGTATTTCCTTGCTGTTCATAGCTGTGAAACAAAGCAGCTAAATGCTAACTTGGTGATGTATTTCCTTCATGTAACTTGGCTTGTTGACTTCTGTACACTAGCTTTAGACTACATGCAAGTCTTCAGCATCTTCACAAAGCATACTTTGTACTTTAGTAATCCTACAGCCTGCATCTTTTTCATATTATTCATTCAGATGGAAGAGATGTCAGCTGCCTCCTCTTTTCATTTACAGCGAAGGAAATGTTCTGAGCAGTAGAGGAGTCTTTGAGATAATCTTTGTGTGCTTGTCAACATTCACAAGGTTGTTAGCACTAAAAGCTAAGCAATCAAAAATAGTGTAGTCTTCATCTGTTCATAGTCTTAACACACTTTTATAAGGTAGATGCACATACAAAAATCTTAGCATTTTCAGGCTTAACTAGATTTTGGGGTAGTTTGCTGTTATATGTATGAAAATTGGCTGTTAGTGCTATGCAAAAACAGATTGGTAGGATGCAGAAAAACAGCTCACCAGACTAGATTTTTTTCTCTCCTTTTATAATGAGGGTATTAAAAAATTGTTTCTCAGGGGTTTTCATGATTTAAAAATACCCACAAGATCCTCCTGTAAGTAATAATAGTTTATAATTAAAACAAACTGATTAAATGACTAAATGTACATCTAAAGATACTTCCAGACTTGTGAATGTCTTTAAAGGGGTACAAATGGAATTTCAGCAGTTCCATTGTTCTGTATAATTTTTAAGCATGTTCACCAAAAAAGGTATTGTAATTAATCATGTTTTTATCATTACTACAAGTATGTATTTTTGCTATTTAATTTAAATGCAAAAATCAGAAATTCATAACCAGTATCTTCCAGTTGTGTAGCATGCCAGCTGCAGCATCACCAAGAGATAGCAAGTTTGTGGGGCCCAGGGAGCCTAGTTTGATGGATTGTGAAGGGGACAGTATCAGCTACTGCTGACCCAAGGGGAACAGCTCTGCACAACTACACATTCCCCTAAATGCAAATCATGAAAGGTACAGTGCACCTTCTTTTCCAGCAGTAGCATGGTCTTGGACTGACTGAAATAACCCACAACACTGTACACTAACCTAATCTCATGGCCCCTGACCCTTAGAGTGCAGATCTGCAGTAGTAGTGTATTGTTTGCTTGTAAGTAGTCTTTCCCTTCCTCAGATCATTTCAAGTTCTAGTCCACCCCTGGTTACTGGAGTGGCAGGAGGAGACCTAACTGTACAATGTGAAGGGGGAAAAAAAGCTTGTTATGGTTCATGATTGTTGGTGTCAAGATTATTCAGACCTAGTATGTGAGCTCACAGTCAGCACAGATTCCCCACTGTTGGACTCTTAATAAAATTTTTATTTTAAAAATCCAATGTGACCGTATTTTGTGCATGTGCATTGACTCAGGGGGCTTATATTTATGTGTGTATTGACTTAGATAAGCTGCCAACAGACAGAGGAAAACTAGTAATGGAGCATATCTTCAAATTGCAAGAGTTCTGCAACAGCATGGTTAAGCTTTGCCTAGATGGATATGAATATGCATATTTGAAAGCAATCGTCCTCTTCAGTCCTGGTATGTAGTATTACAAATGTAAAACTTTAATCTGCGCTAATTTTTGCTATGTAACTTCTGCCTGTTTTCATTTTATGCGGTTACTATCACCTGTACAATTATTGCCTTGTTTGTTGAGGAGCCTTGGAAGGTTTGTAATAAGGCCTGTAAGAAGAGGAGGGTTAATCTTTTAAAGTAAATAGTTGAATGTTGCTTTGAAGACTTTTACTCTTGCCTCTACCATTGATGTTTTAAAAAATACTTATTTATTTACCACTTTTAATTCTGTGCTTCCTTTCTAGGGCACTTTTTCTGAGGACCTGTAGTTTAATTTTCAGAAGTGGTGCGCTTGCACATTCAGCTGAGATGGATTGAAGTTGGGCTTTTAAAGTATGAAAGACCATCTTCCTCAGCATCCATTCTCATATCCAAAATTACAGAAACACTCACTTCACATAGATATTTTGGAAATAAGTATCACATGTAGCATATCTGGTGAATAAGCACCACAAACATTCCCATGTATTATTACTTCTGTCTTCTTAGAAGATTGCCTAATGTACCCCAAGTAACGTTAATGACATTAGACAGTGAAGATAAAATAATAATTATTTTTCCCCCGGGAGATTAGTCTACAAGATGGAAGAAGAAGAGTCCTCTGGTTATGACAGTGACTGAATAGATTTTCTAGCACAATGTCTACTAGGATTCATGGGATGATCTGTTGGCCTGTCTAAAGAATCACTCTCTGTGAACCTCACACTTGCAAAGCGATACCTACTTACTTGTTTAATCAGAAGTTAATTTGTCTCCTGCCAATTAGATTTGATAACACAAAAGGTAGAAGGAAACATATCTTGGGAAAAGGCTGTATCTGGTCACATGATTGAGATGAATTTTCTTTAGCTCACATGCTTTCAGGATAGGATTCCAAATGATGTGTAGCTGCTTTCATGACAATGTGTTGTCAATATTGATCCTATGAGCCGTGTAATGAAATCTTCATGTATCTAAAGTCATGTTCAGTACCTTTAGTAGAAGGGATGTTCTGTCAGTGATTCATAGGTCAGACATTATGATTTCAGGGATTTTTCTGCTCTGCTGCAGGATGGGGCTGGGTTGCACATGTGGCAGAGTCCTAAGGTAGAAACATCTGCTTTAGGAGGCCCTACTGATTTGCCATCTTCCATAGCTGGAGACTTGGAAGATTACTGAAAATCATCTGTGCCAAGCCAGCTCTTTGACTGTCAGAAGACAGCCTTGGGCAGACAAGCCAGCTCTTTGACTGTCAGAAGACAGCCTTGGGCAGAGGAGCATAAAGGAGTGCTGAGAAGACTTTGCATCTTCATAAGTGGCTGCTTGTCTACGAGCAGTGGTCTTCAAACTACTGTTTTCAGAAGTTGACTTCTAGCTGTGTTTCTGACATTGCTTTAAAAGCAGCATCATGAAGGGATGCATATTGCATGTCAGTGACAACTCTTTAAAATGTATTCCTTCTTTGCAAACTTACTAACCTCTTGTCCTCTGCATTAATTTGAAGCCATGCTTTTGGAATGACTGAATTACTGCATAGGATAAAATATTCCTCTGTGAAGCTATGTGTTCAAGGAAGTCCAGTGATTTATATAATTGTTTTGAAAGCTTCTAGGCCAAAACCTCCTGGTTTTCTTGACAAAAGGCCATATATTTGGAGAGGAGGATTGTTAGAAATAATCTTTTATCTGACATCATTTGGCAGCTCATTTATGATCCATTTCTGAAAAAAATCTACATGATTTGTCATGCTGCTATGACAGTAAAATATTTACATTAAGATGGATGGACAATAAAAATTACAGGCCACATAAAGTGTTCAGAATCAGCAGGTAATAATTTCCAAATGTGACTTGACAGTTAGGTTAATATCCTTTCATTTTAGCAAGATTTACATTTCAAGTGTTTAAGCTAAAAATAACGTTTAGCACATTTGAAAATTTTGCACCAAACAGTTGGAAAAGAATGATCTGCTCCGTATCTTCTTCAGTTTTTAGGAAACAAGTGCTTCATAGCCTTTTATTCTGCTTTTTCCGCTGATCTTAATTTTATCCTTTGCATCCCACCCAAATGCTATTTGTGCATACAATTGTCCATTAAATGTGAGTGTATTGAAACACTGCTACATACAGAACAGAGCTGTATGATTGAGATTGATGTAACACTGCAAGCACTACCTTTATTTGAACTCTTGTTGTGGTTTAAACCAAGGCAACTCTTCAAAATGTCTGGTTGTATTTATAAAGAACTAAACAAAATATAAACATAGAAAAGAAGTATAGTGAGTTAAAGAAATGTCCTCCACTAAAAGTGTGAAGTTGCTACAGCTACCAAATGATGGTTTTGGTATGCTTACAGTTAGATAATCTGTATGCATTTTAGTGTGTTTTATCTAGAACAGGTATAACAATGTAGAGTGCTTTTTTTTTCAGATCATCCAGGTCTAGAAAATGTGGTACAGATTGAGAAATTTCAAGAAAGAGCTTACATGGAGTTCCAAGACTACGTAACAAAAGCATATCCAGATGATACTTACAGGTCTGTAAACTTACTTGATTGATTCTTTTTTCAGAGCACTGGTGATTATTTCTTGTAATAAATATGTGCATTTTCTTCTTGCTTCCATAAAGGTAAGAAATGATCTTTAGAGCACTTGAACTATTATGCAGGTACTCATACATATTATGAGTATTATTTATCTACTAATTCATTATTCTTTTCCAAAATGAAATATTGGAAATAAATATTTTTAATGTTTGAATTGCACCTACTTGGACTATTTCCTCATTTAGTCTAAGTCCAAACCTGGTACTGTCCCTGTAATTGACATGCATAATCATGTTTTTTGTACTGTTTAAAGACATGCTTGAACATAAATTTAATACTCTCCTGATTTAAATATTTAAGCCTTTCATGAACTAGATACAGCAGATTTTGGCCAGTGTTGTCACTTGTTATTTTTTCCCCTTACTGATAACATGATCATGAATAACACCAAAATCTGTGACCAAAACTAACACTTTTTACCCAACTTACTTTCTAGACTGTCTAGACTTCTTCTCAGATTGCCTGCTCTGAGGCTGATGAGTGCTGCCATCACTGAAGAGCTGTTCTTTGCAGGACTGATTGGCAACGTTCAGATTGACAGCATCATCCCATATATTCTGCGAATGGAGACAACGGACTACAACTCTCAGATAATCAGTCATACCATATAAAAGTACTAGTCAAGTATTCCATACCATGGCAGTCATGGTGATGTAAATGCATACCCTGTCTCCAAGAGATGGCAATAAGCCTTCCCATGCACCTTTTCAAAGAAGGCTAATATTCCTCCTTTCCAGTACACTTGGGAAACGTGATGGACTGTATTAAGGAATATAGGATCATTTCCTATTTTTCATCTGATCTTCAAGGACTTGTAAATTTACTTGGTATCTGAAGAAAGTCAAGAATTGTCCATCCTATTTTTATAGATAGATAACTTGGAATATTTGTTTATGAAGTCCAAGCTTGTGAAGAAACTGAAGAAGCAATGACTGAACTAAGGTATCTCAACTTAGTTTGATGGTTTAGAGAAATAAATTAACTTTTCTCTCTGAGTTGTGTTTTCATTGTTTTGCTACTAGTTCTTTCTTACTGGTCAAATGGAAAATACATGATCAAACATCCTGAAGAGGTCAGGGTTTCCATGGCAACAAGACTGTTATACCCAAACTTAGTTTCCCATTTGTTTTAAAGAGAGATTTGTTTCTTGAATGAAACACTGGGCAGTAGAGACCGCTGGAAAGTAGAGAAAGTTCACATTTTTAAAATACTTTGATGAGAGGTTGCTGCAGTTGACCAATCCTGACTGTTTTGTGGGTGCAGTAGAATACTGTGTTGTAGTACTACCTCTTGGTAGACATCAGCTGTTTTATACTATGGAAAACTAACAGAGAAGTGTATACTGCAGGTATTCAAAGACAGCATCATCCCACTTTTTCTAGTCTTAGAAGTTAAAGCTTTTTCACACTACCACTTCCTCTGTCGTACTCGGTGCACAACAGTGGAGACACTCTAGATGCTTCTTGTGTTCACGTCTTCATTTTTTTTAATATTGTTAGCCTTTGGCTATGCAGTTCTCTTTTCCAGCCAATCTTATATGCTTACTGTTTAAGTTTGAGTGTGTCAAATTCAGTTGCCTGAATCATACATACTTCATAGCTACATCTAAGGATGTTTTTTTTTTCTATCCTGAGGCATGTGCCTCACTGACAAATAACACTGACATACAGTTACTTCTTGCTTCATTTTTCAGTGGGCCTTTATACATCCCTAGCACATTTAATAGTTATTGCTTGAAATTAAAATTATCGTAGTAGAAGTAGTGGTCTACCTCTGATGCTAGAATTCAGGATTATATAAATCTTGGATCGAGGCTGAGTTCTGTTTATCACGAATCTTCTCTTTCTCCAGCAACACTGGGTGTGGAAGAGCCTCAGCAACACACATATGATGGCACCAGGAATTGCTCAGCCAAAAGATCATCTTAAATGGGGGCCTTTGCCCACTCTGCACCAGAAGGTCCAAGGCCACCCTAACACCAGGAGACTACTAGATGAGGCTACTGTAGTTTTTCTCAGCACCTGAGGACCTCAGCCAGCCAAAAAGAATTGGTGAACTGCCTCTGACACTGAGTTTCTGTGTTCTTTTCAATTCCACTACCTGAGCTGTTTGGATCTTCTTCCACCCAAGCTATGTAATTTGAGGCTTTACTACAGGATCGGTCACAGCCAACACCACAGACAAAGCACTCACTGCAGAGGACCCCTGATGGGATGGCAGCATCTGCCCTGCTCTGCCCTGGCATTTACTGACTTGCTGGAGTACTGACCTGCCTTCAGTGTCGGAGCTGGCCGTGTCTGCTGAGCTCTTCCCACATTCCACCTTTCAAAGGATGCAGGATGCAAGCTCTTCATCTGGGTCCCCTTGGAGAGCAATGTGAGGACTGTTGGGTCTTGGGAGGTATGCATCTCATCAGCAGGGTTTATGGATGTACAAAAGAGTTGCTGCCGATACACTGTGCTTGTTCTCTCCCCAAGGGTTAGAGGCCCAGCTTGCCATCAGTAGGACCAAGTTGCAGATGGCAGGTGTATAACTCTTCATCTCTTCTTGGAAATTCTGACCCTGCTTGCTAGCCCTTTGCTGTCTTTGACCTGCTTCTAGCACTAACAGGCATGGGAGATTTACAGTCCTCTGTGTTAAACTTTTTAAGGAAGCTGATGGCACATTATTCCTGAGTATTTTGGAAAGTGGTTTCCCAGGTATTCTAATAATCTTGGAAGAGTTTTACTCCAGTATTCTCCACACTCATGTAACCCAGATAATAGTAAGAAATAATATCTTGTTTCCCTTCTAAACGCAGTACATTGTGCAAATGTCTCTCCCATCCTTACAGAAATCTTTTACTCCATCGTTTGAGCCTCAGGTGTCATACACAGTTCTTGGTTTACAGCTGGTCAAAAGATTTGGCTCACACAGCCTCTTGCATGGGACTGTCCTGTTTCAGAGACAAACTGAGAAAATACGAGTCTTTCTGCAGATACTAGTCTTCAGTGACTGAATCCTTTGGCTCATTTCTTTTTATCATAGAACAGTCCAGGTTGGAAGGGACCTGAAAAGATCATCCAGTGCAACCTTCCATGGGAAAGGGAGCCTAGATGAGATTATCTAGCACTCTGTCCAGTCGCATCTTGGAAGCTTCCACTGGTGGGGACTCCACTGCATCCCTGGGGAGGTTGTTGCCGTTACTGATTGTTCTCAGCATAAGCAAATTCTTTCTTATATCCAGATCTCCAAGATTTTCCAAAGATTATAGACAGTTGCCTTGCACAAGTGTCAGACACTTAATACCTTAGGGTGGATTTCTTCTGGGTCTATGGATTTTTTTGAGTTGAGCCCTTGCAGGAGGCTGCAGACCAGTCCTTCCTCTACTGCTGGTGGGTCAACACATTGTCATAGCTATTTGATCCTGTGCTCTGTGGTCCAGCTCTACTGGTAAAGACAGGCAAAGAAGATGCCGAGAACCTCTGCCTTGTCAGCATGACCACTGAGTATTTTCCCTGCCCTGTTAGGCAATAGGTCTGCATCTTCCCTGTGCTTCTGCTTACTGCTCATATATATCTGAAGAACCCTTTTTTCTTGTTCTTGACATCTTTGCCCAATTTCAGCTCTAGCTGAGCCCTGGCCTTCCTAACCACATCTCTGCATACCCTTTTAATCCCTGATGGGTATTTAGCTGCTTTCCATAGGTGGTATGCTGAGGTTTTGCCTTTTTTTTTTCTTTTCTTTTTTTGTCAGAGTGCTGTTTTGGATGAGATGACCTCAGAACCTTATTTTCTCTGGATTTCTATTCTTGCTTCCTCTTTGTGCCCTAGTCTGTTTGCATACAAGTTAGCCTACTTCAATAACGTGTGCCCTGCCATTACCACTGACTGCTGGGTCGTGACTACTTTCCTAGGATGTGTTAACTCAAAAGCACAAGAACCTTGGTCCTATTTCCCATCAGGTTGTTTAAATTCAGGTGTTTGTTGGGCAAAAAACATTTTATGATTCTGGATACCTCTGACATTTGGACCTCCACAAAGCAGCTGTGCACACAGCACATTGCAAAGAGCTCTGGCTACTGGTAAGTAACCTTTTATCCAAAAAGTTTTCTTACATTTTTTCATGACAGTAAATTTTCATCCTAAGTTAGGTATTGATTTAAAGGTAAGGTGCAGCTGTTTTATGCTGCCTGACAAGTAATCTTTCTCGTCTTCATGACGAGCTAGAAGCTGGATACCATACTGCAGGTTGTTGCTTCAGTGTTACTTTGCTTATGAAGATTTTTCATAATTTAAAAATCATTAATCATTCTTAAGCTATAAATTCATGCTTTTGATAAGGAATGAGGCATAACTGGGTTTTCTCAGGAATGGGAGCTTTAAAACAGGTAAATTAATACAGGGATGAACATGTTTCTTCCTTATTTCTGGATGTTAAGCACTGTGGTCATTGAGAATAACGCAACAGCTCATAGGAAGGCGAAACACAAGTTCTGGTTTTGTTTGTTTTGCTTTTTTAAGATAACTGCTGCTCAGTTAAATGGAGCATATTGTTATCTTCATCTCAGACCTTCAGTGTTTCCAATACCTATGATTTATTGTCATTTCTAGCCTTGTGAATTAATGTTCTTTGCTCCTAGATGAAAGGCTGGCTAATATTGCTGGTTTCCTTCCTGTTGCTGAGTAACGTTTTTAATCAGCTAACAAAAATGTGAATATTAAAGTTCACTTCATCGTGGATATTAAAATATCTCATTATTGTGACCTTTTCGTCTTTATTTTTCAATTTTTTGATCTTCAGCAGTCTGACAGTTTGCAAACCCATCAGGATTTACCAAGCTGTCACATTCACTAGCCAAAAAATAAAAAGTCTCTCTGACAACAGAAGGACAAGTTTAGTTTCAACAACTTTAAATCTGTCAATGTTCAGAGCAGGAAAAATCATATTACATATAAATTACATGAAAGGCATAACAATTTTATACTTTTCAGAATCCTGTCTTGTAAAGATGGGAGTGATGCTACACACATAATAAGCTTACTGGTTCAAACATTCTTCATGGAAGTGTATGTTGTACATAAACCCTTGGGTTTAGGTTGCTTGTTTCATACCAGTTAAGTTCCTGGTACAAATAATTTTTATATTTTAAACTTTTCAGAAGTACACTTATTGCAATACTTTCTGCAGTTACAACCTTACCTGTCCATGCAGTTACTGTCTTTGTGTGTTCTCCAGTGTGGGTGAAAGTCAGTCTGTTCATTTTGAAACCAGTCTGGTTTGTTCAGCGGTGGCAGTTTGCTAGTACGGCCACTTCAGTGTAAGCACCACAACGTCACTGTAATTGTCTTGCTGTTGTATTAAAACAAAATCACTGTGGATGTCTTGAAAGCTGCCTAAATTGGTAAATTCTATTTTGGCTGTATTTTTTAAAATAAACTGTAAGTTTCTATTCTAGAAAACAGTGGCAATAACCTATTACTTAATGTTTTATATGGATTGAATGACACACCTAAACCAGTGTATATATGATTACAAAGAGTTTGTGGATCTTTTACACTTTTATTACACAGTGTAGTATTGTCACTTGTATTCAGTCTCTGGGATTTGTGATAGCTAGCAATATCTTGCTGTTTGCTCCTCTTTGCTGCTGTTAACTTTCTGTTTCCATGCTTACTACTTTCTGCCCTATGAATTTGAAAATGTAATAATTATAAAATTTAATTTACCGTTTTTTTCTTTTGAAAACACTCCATAGAAATATGTATTGTAATGAACCCTGATCAAATATCTTCATGTTATATCATGCAATAATGTATATTTGGGTATGATTATTTGATTCATTATGGAGCAGTTTTAGGTTGGAAGTTAGGGTATGATGGAACACAGTTTTTTTCCTTTTGAAAGAAATACAGCTTTATCTCATTTTTAACTATTGCTGGATAAATAATGAATTTATTAATGTTTAAAATTGTGAAATTATCATGAGTTTTGGTCTATTCCAGAATTGATTGAAAAGTGTAATTTTTTTGGTCTTTGTCTTCTGTTGTAAATGAATGTGGTGTTTGCATGAATGTGCAGATAATCCAGAACAGCATCCCAAATGAGAAATGAGCTACCATTCTTTCCATGTTTAAATCTGAAATGTTTTTATCATTAAGTAAATTAATAACGCACTGACACACTGCAGAGAAAATCTAAGGTGCACTGGTAAAAGATGAAGTTTGGATGATATAATGAGTTACCTAATGGTGACAGCTGGAAATAAGCATGAAGAATCTCTTCCCCATAAAAGCTTACTTCAGGTTTTCTTCTGGAGTAAGTTCACTAAGTTCCTGGAGTAAGTAAGTAAGGCAGGCTTTCTCCTGCCTCTGTTCTAAAAGCTCACCTTTCTCAGTACTTAGAATCATAGAACAGTTTGGGTTGGAAGAGACCTTAAAATCATCCCATTCCAAGCCCCCTGCCATGGGCAGGGACGCCTTCCACTAGACCATGTTGCCCAAGGGCTTGTCCAACCTGGCCTTGAACACTTCCAGGGAGGGAGCATCCATAGCTTCTCTTTCGCATGTCATCCTTTGAGTCATTGAGGAAATGAATTTGAAATGGATTTGAAATGGATTTGAAAAGTACATTCTTGCTTGTTGCACTCTGAATCTGTATTAGAAAAAAAGCAACTTACTTGTGTTCAGACTTGAGAGGGTTTTTTAGGCCTTGAAGAGTCTTAAATTTTCAAAACCAGCAATTAAAGATCTCTTACAGGTACATGAGTTATAAAACTCAAGTTACTTGAGTGATGAGACAGTATTTCAATTCTGTCTCCCAAAGATGTCCCAGTAAATTCTCAGGCAGATGCTATACTTGCATTTGTACTCCCCTGTATTCGACTATGACATCTGCACCAAATTCAGGGAGAATTTTGAGCGCAATAGTATGATTCTTTGTTCACCCTCAGTGACCAAACACATTAACAAAAGCAGTTTTAAGTAGATGTGATGGGACTTGAGCTGTTATGAGCTAATGAAATTCTCAGTGGAAATCTCATTGACCCAATTAATAGAGAAAAATAGTACAAAGAAATATCAAACTATAATTTGAAGATGCTGTAAAATGTTCCTGCTACTAAGAATGAATTTCAACAAAACCTTCTGTAGGTTCACTGTCACATTAAGAAGTTCCCTTCTTCCAGCTTTGTGTCATAATGCCCCATTCTCCACAGTAGTGTCAGTCTAAGAACCATGGTGCTATGAGTATCAATGAAGTGATCCAGATCATTTTCACTCTTGGGAAGAAAAAAAATAATATTATTTAATGGCCAGCAGAGAAAATGCTCATGGAATTATACTCTCAATGAAAATTACCCCAGTTACAGAAACAACAGTCTTAGAAATAGGTTCAAGAGCTGAACCTATCCAATGCTTCAAAAGCTGGCTGACTTAATTGACTTAATTCTGTCATATTTTACACTCCATTGTCAATAATTTATATCAAAATAATGGTTTCTATATATAAAGTTATGGACAACATAACAAGGGAATTCTGACTGCAAATATTTCTGGCTTTCTGCTTGCTAATGTACAATTACCTGAGTGTATTTTAATATATTTAGTAAATTTTCTAAGAGTTTTAATGGAGAAAACGTAAATAACCTGCCACAAGTGTACTGAAGCTTGAGACTTGCCACAGAACAGATGCCGTGGTTACAGCACAGCACACCAAATCAGCAGGGCTTGTGTTTTCTGTCTGAACACAAAACCGCTTGTGTTTAAAAACTGTTGAATGGGAAACTTAGACACCGGACTTTACATTAACATGGATATTATATTTCCACACTGTGACCTTGGCTGGCAGACCTTTTTCACAGTCTCATTTTCCTTTCAGTTTTAACACCACCTACTTAATATTTCACTTCAGCTCCTGCTTTGTCCCTTCCCAAATCCCCAGTTTCCCATAGTATCGGCGGCCAGCTGCTTGGCCTCTTCAGACAGCTGGGCTCCATTGAGCAGCCAGTGGTGGCTACAGCACTGAAGCTGTGTTCACCAAGTGTTCTTCCGAGTCCTGCCTGCTCTGACAAGGTAACGTGGATCTATTTTTAGCCCTTGTGAAGGTCAGTGAAGTAGTTTCCGCACCCTGCCAGACTAGCCTTGCAGTAACAGCGGTAAAGTACTCCCAATGTCCCCAGCAAGGCAATCAAAAATATTTCTTCCTGCTGCTGCAGAACCAGAAGGCAGTGGGACAAGATGTAGATGGAAAGGTGGGTAAGAGATACATGTTCCTAAATAGCCTCCCAGAGTTACGAAAAGCCAGGGACCATCACCCACAGTTTGCATGGGGTGAGATGTCACCTCCCCTACCTCCTGTTTTTTGGTCTAGGCAATCTTGGACTCCTCACTGCCACTTTCAGAACTTGTGTTGTGACCTGTGTGAAAAAAATGAGAGACAGTAGACATTTTTATTCAAAACAAAACAAAAGGTGAGGGAGTCCATATCCTGAATTTGTCTCTTGATTTTCACAAGCAGCCACCAATACGCTTTTCTATGGATTTAGACTATGCAGATTGGAGGTACAAATCTCAGCATCTTCATCAAAAAATACCCTTCGGCAACCTTAGCAAAGGCCAGAAAAAGGATCTTGCTGCTGGTTGTTTCTTGGTTTTCACAAATACACATGATAGATGTACTGGGAAAAGTGTGGTCTGCCCGCCCTGGGGAACTGTCATGCCTGTGCCTGGAGAGGCAGTACCTGGGATACCAGGGTGCTGCTCAAGCAGGGCGGTGAGATCCAACTACAGCTGAAGGTTTTTGCAACGGTCAGCAGCCAAGGACACGTGTTATTTGTGAGGATGGGTTTTGAGGGAGTTCTGAACCTACAGCCTGGTGAAGAGGTGGAGAGGGAAATCTAATGGCAGCCTACAACCGCTTGCAGGACAGCTAGTAAGGACGGTGGTGCCATCTTCCTCATTGAAGTGGATCACAGAGCAGCAGGGGATGGCTGAAGAGCTGCTTGCAGGGCTGAGGCAGGATGCGGGGCTGAGGCAGGATGAGGAGTAACGCGCTCGGCAGCACGGCGGGACAGCACCGAGCTGCCTGGAGGACTGTATCTCCCTCCTCGCGCGGTCCCAGGGCAGGCCAGGGAGAGCCACGGCGGGCCTGCGGCAAGCCAGACGCAGACTCCGACAGCCTCAGAGGCTGCGTCCAACCGCCGCAGCCTCACCAGGGAGCGTCAGCAACCACCAAACAAATGAGGGACGGCGACACAGCTCCTCCACCGTGCGCTCCGCGCTCCGGCGCCCGAAGGAGGAGTTGGTGCTGTCCCGGCGGGAGGCGGGGCAGCCCCAGGCCGGAACGGCTGGGGCGCCGGGAGCGGGCGGCACCGCTCCAAGATGGCGGAGTACGTGCAGCTGATAAAGAGGGCGATGAAGCACCTCGGCGGCCATGGGGGCGTACGCGGCGCCATATGGCAGCTGCTGAGGTAACGGGGCGCCCAGCGTCCGGCGCGCCCGGCACAGGTGGCGGGGGGCCGCACGTCGCCGCACTGCGGGGTCACCTTGACGGGTGCATGGGCGGGCGGCGAGCGCCCTGCCCCTCACGAAGTGGGGTTGGCGGGGGTGAGGGGCCGTCACCGCGGCGCCGTGGCGGGCGGCGGGCTTTGCTTGCTCCGGTCGGTGCGCGGCGCTGGGCAGGCCGCAGGAGGAGGCCGCGGCGCACCTTGCGGTCCGAGCGGCGGTGTGCTGGGGCGGTGCGGCGCGGTTCGCAGCCCTCAGCCGTTGTCGGCCTTGGATACTGCGGTCAGAGCGTTCTCCAGCCAGGCCCCGGCCGTTGTCCTCTCATCTTTAGGCGGCTTGGTGGGTTCCTCGATGCTGCGCTGCGCTGTCAGTACTGCCCTGGCAGGTTTCGTCTCTCAGCCTCCAGCAGTCCAGCCTCAGCTCTTCTTAGCCTTGTTGCCACAGCCGTGTCCACCGTGCTGACGCTCAGCGCTGCTGCAGCCACCTTCTGTGTTTCTGTGCATGTGCTGCTGCTGAGATCTTGCTGTGTAAAACAAGGAATTAACTCACCTGCTTCATGAGCTTTAACTCTTTAACACTTCAAACTGTACATCTGCCTCTTTGGCAACAGATTGTCACCACTGACCTGTGCTCAGCTTTGGATGCCCTCTAGCTCCAGTGGAATCTTCTTGCAGAATTAGTTGTAGCCTTTATTTCCAGCCATCTCTGGAATGGCTTTGCCCCCCAAGCACAGAACTTCACACTCCTCCACGTTAAACTTTATCCTATTTTTATTCCCTGCTCACATCTCTACCTTGTGGATAGTATTTTGAATTGTGTTTTGAAGTGTGATAGCTGTTCTTGAAGCTCCTCCCAAACAGGAGGAGCTACGCATTTACTAAGTCTGAATGCTACATGGTCCAAATTTGGCAGTGTCAGTAATCTGTTATCTTTGTAGCTGGCCTTGGAAAAATAATCAAACATTTCTTCAGGGTCCAGTGAATGTTGTAGGCCTGACCACATAGCCAAAAAAGCCTGGTTTTAATCACTAGTGGGGAGTCAAGAAAGAGTACGGGATAGGGAGGATATGCAAGGTGAGGTTCTCTGCTATATATCAAGGTCTGTCTTACACTAGAATAGACAAGGCAAGATTTCTGAGCCCTCGTGATGCCTTTTATTCCAGTCGTCATAATAACCCTCTTTCCTTGCAGTTTAAATTGATTGGTTTTGAACAGTTATACATAACATTTTACACAGTTGCTGATCAGGCCTTATCAGTATTTTCATGCAGTGGCTTTAATACTAGTTTTGTTCACTGGGGACAGCTCAGTTCACCTGGTACAGCCTAGGGTCAGCTTTGTTTTTTTTTCCCCTCAGTGTCACCTCATTGACAGCTTGTTATTCCCTTGTGATATCCAGATGTTCTCCTTGCATTATGCACATAGTGCTGCAGATCTTAATAGTCTCCAGGCGCATCACCTTCATACCAGTGCTGTGACCATCGTACCATTGAGTTCCATGCTGGTGATATCAGTCCAGCCCTGATGACAGTACTGAACCTCCTATACAACAGTGTAACCTTCTCTGTCTGGTAGTATCATAATCTGTCAGACTCCTGTGCTTTCTGGGGATGGGGTTTCTGATTTGGTTTTGTTTTGGCCAGGAACCTTGTAAAGTGTTAAGTAAGGCTACTAACATCAACATTCTTTGTGGAACTTCACTAGAAACCTTGGATCAATTCTATTTCTTCTTTCAGCTGAGCATGTTGTTTTCTTCCTGTCAGTGTGTTAGTCCCTTTACAGTTATTATACATTTTAAATCTTTTTTTTTCATTTGTTTGTGGTACAGTATTTCTGAGGTCAGCTTGTCTTTTGGGACATCTCAACTTTGTATTCCCGCTACCTGTGATGACAAACAGCTTCTGAGTTTTCTGTCTCCGTGGTAGAAAGTAGTTCAGGGAGACCTTCCTCTTGCACAATGTTTTTTCAAGCTGTTAAGCAGTATCAGTTAAGACAATATACAATTTCCCTGGCTACTGTTTTACTATTACTGTTTTCTGTTATCCTCCCTAAGTTGTTTTCTCCACTTTGTTTCCCTTTTCACGCAGTAGCTATTGCACTGGCAGTTCTCAAGAAGAAATGGAGCTGAGAAAATAAAAGTCTAGAAGAGTTTGAGTATTAGGTTTCACTAGAGTGCCTCTTCCTAAGCACGTCTTAAGGAATGTCTTGTCAGGGAGCTTATGTGAGTCAAAGATCACAGGTTGTGCAAACACCTTTCTATCATGAAGGAAGAGAGAATAGACAAGACTGGAGGCAGTGCTCTCTTTTTTTCCATTGAGAAGACTGAAGTTAGAAGAGCGTATGCTAGGTGGAAAATCACACCTGATCCTCATAACTGTACCGACCACAAACATAGTCACTGCCCCCCTTTCATCTTTCAGGTCATTGAATCTTTCATCCCAGTTCAAGGAATAGACTTGGTGCTTACAGGAAGAGTGATCAAGGTGAATCTTGCAAAAACTGATGTTTTAGAAGTAATTACTTGGAGAAATGATCTACCCAAGTCAGGAGACTTTCTCTACAAGGGTTTTAGTCTGAATTTCTCTGCTTTTCTCTAAATGCTTACGTCTTTCGTAGTTACACAAAAGCTAGAAAGTAACAGTTGTAATTTAGGGTTTAGTGTGCATTTCCTTGGCAAGCAGCTACGATGACTTAAAATACTACTGTTCCTCTCTCTCCTGGCGGTTAGTGCCCACATGGACATGTGAGATCTCTCAATGTGCCTTAGTGCTGACCACTTTTCCATGGCAATTCAAGCTGAAATGCTTGTAACAAGTAGTTGAGAAGGATGGTAACATCTTCAACCAAATGTATTTAACGTGTCTCTGGGACTCCCTTCCACAGCATTTAACGTTTTGTGTGTGTTACATTGTGTATATTGCAGAGTCGCTTTGTCTTCCACTATGAAGAGCTTTTAAATAAATAATAACCCCCAAAGGCCTTTTTGTATAACTTTTATTATCCTGTCAGTGGAGTGCACAGTAAAGGCATGCTGGCATTAGTTGCAGAGTTGGTGATTATGTTTTGCCATCCATAAGCTTGCATAGTTTTTTGAGTACATATATATATGTTTAAGAGTTTTCATTACAGATTTCTACCAACCCCTAAGAAACCTCTATCACAACTTAATTCTAACATGATGTCAATTGAAAGTGTTTTGGGAATTCACAGGGTCAATGATTTGAAGACTGGTACACTGGTAGGAACTGACAAATACGGAAACAGATACTATGAAGACAAAAGAAACTTCTTTGGTATGTGTGCTAGTGTGAATACCTCCTGACTGACTGTCCACCTTTGTATAGCTTGTGTAGTTTCTGTTAATGAAATAAAACATGCTGTCTGTCTGACTTCCTCACACTTGACTTGTGTGAGTCTTAAAGAGGGGGCAAGAAATGCTTTGACATCTTCTGTCTCTCTGTTGCTTCTCTTAGTTCCTTTGACTACATAGTCAATCTGAAATATAGGACAAATGTAAGCCAGTCAGATGCTTTCCATATAGGTATGCCTATATGATAATGTAATTGAGGGCTGAATTTGGTCCCTGACCTAAAAGCTGGTAGCTTAAAAGGTGGGTGAAGAGAGAGAAATGCCTTTAAAACTGCCTTGCGGCTATGCTTACTTGTGTGAGCATTTCATGGCAAAGAGACACAGATTAGCTTAAACTTCCTGTTACTTTAAGTAATTCGATTTTCAATAACATTTGTAGAGTACTTAAAAACGTAGCACCTAAAACAACAAAGGTGGAAGGTGATGTGTAAGCAATTGACATGCTTGGTAGGCCAAGCTCTGCCTGCTGTACGTTAACTTGTAGGGTACCTGGGGAAAGCAGCTGCTGGTAAACATTGCTTGGTAGTTTTATATGGCTGAAACTTAGTTTAATCTTCAGCTACTAATGGCAATGTCCTTTTGGAAAAGACTCCTCCCAAAAAACTGTTTCTCTGCCTGAAAATTTTCTAAGTTCCTATTTCCCATTACTTATAAAATAGCTAATACTTGTTTCCTCATGAGGGCATTAAATACAGCCATATCAAAATACAGTAACAGTGGATATATGGAAGACTTAGAAAAATAAAAGCTGTAGAGACTTCAAAATAAATGCCCATAATGGTAGATACTTTTTGTGAAAATACTTTTCCTTGTTCTCTTCTTTATATGAAAACAGTTTGGTTCTTCGAGCTGATAAAATATTCCTGTTTGTTTATTTAAGGTCGCCACAGATGGGTCATCTATACTGATGAAATGAATGGCAAAAATACATTTTGGGAAGTTGATGGAAGCATGGTGCCACCCGAATGGTAAACCATTTAGCTTAATAATGTGGCCAGACACCACAATTGCCTGTATATTTTCTTGTATTACAAAACAGAAAGTTAATTAATTATAAAGTTTTCTTGGGTGCAGCTGTCTTATATATGGCCAGAAGATTTGAGACTAGTTACTGTTAATTTTAATCCCCATTCATAATGTTATATTGCCCACTGTCTTAACTGTCACACTCACTGCTTCTTGGAATGAGAAGATTTTGCCAGCCAGATTGAGCAGGTGAAGCCAGTCTTCCAATTTTCCTTATTGTGATTCTGTCTTAATGGTTTGGCAAAGCATACAATAACATTGAACAGCCTGAGGGAGAAAAAAATAGCTTAAATTATCCATTCTAGCCAAGAACCCAAAGAAGGTAAGGCAATAATGGAACAACATTCCCTATTCTACAGCCATTAACAGCATAATTGTTTCAGTGGATATACCTTGATACTCTACAAGCTGATGAACAGCAAAGGGCCAGGGTACTCAGCTCAGTATGTTGACTACTACTTGACTGTATTTTTTCTTCAGGTTTTATTTTCTGTTCATGCCTTTCAGTAATAAGTACAACCTCGAGTTCCAGAAGATCTCTGGCCACATGGCTGTTAGTACTTTTTTTGTCTTCCTAAATAACTCAGGAAAAACACATCCCAAATAAAATAACATTTTATAGTATATGCTAGCAAAGCCAATTGCCACCTGATTCTTGGGGAGTATAAACAGCGCTTCAGCCACAAAGCAGTGAAAGATGGTATGAAATTAGAGGTGCTTGGGTAGACTGAGCATTGGTGAACACTGGCTTTTATTGTTCCTGTGACAGATGTTCTGTGCAAGGCTGAGATTAATTATGTAAGCTCCTAAATTGTGGCTGTCATTAGAATATCCGAGAAACGTGTGGGTAGATTGTCTAGGTAGTCAGTTTTGCTTCGAATTCTCCCAGCATTAAAATTAGTTTTAATGCAGTGAATGCTTTTTTCTGTCTTCTCCAGTAAGAGCTTAATGGCATTGTTTTTTAGAAGTCGCATCAGAATCTCCAAAACCATCATGTTCATGCCAGTGCTGAGCTGTTCCTTGTTACCTGCATAATAATTGTTGTTTTTATCCTTGCACTATTAGATTGTGCTAATTTTCAAGATGTTCCTTATTTTGAATGACACTTTTTTGTTGTTTTTTCTTTGCTTGTGCTTATGTGTTGTTTATTGTGTGCTTAAAAACCTCAGTAAAGAGTTTCTTTCTGAGTATCAAAGTGATGTTTCTAAGATCAAGTAGCTTGTTTAGATCACATAAATTAGTGAGGTAGAAAAACTTGTTTTTCTGTCAATGTGGGAAAACTTACCCTGGAAGAAACAGTAAAAATTTAGTTATTTTTAAGACTGGTCAGTGCAGTGAGGCACAAAAGGGTAAACAGTCCTGTCTCCTGAGGTATTTTCTCAGGAAACTTAGTTGTGCCGTACTGTTCAGTTTTAGGGGTACTTTTTTATCACTGATAAATTTGTATGTCCCATGGCAACCCTAGACGTTTATTCTTACATAGGAGTCCTAGCTTTGTGACACATCTAAATCACTGGCATTTAATTCTATACTATTTAGATACATCTTTATAAATAGAAATATTTTGAGTGGGAATAAACGCTAGTTTTTAAGACTTATTTATTTTTCGTCTGATGGTACACCATCTTAAATTTTTGAAGTGGCATAAACTTCTGAACTGAGACTATGTATTGTTCATGTATTGTACAAGTTTCTGTCCATGTCAACATTGGGGTTGTGCAGATACAGAGGGAATTGAATGGGTTTACTGGACCCAGAATTTCTTAGAAAGAAATTAGGTTGTGTGAAATTACTTCTATTAAAACAGAGATGAATTTGGTCTCTAGTATAATAGTACCTGTCCTGTCAGTTGTAAAAAATGTTTCTCTCTTAAAACACTAGGCCTGCCTTCAACAGATGAAACGCTTAGCATCCTTTGGTCAGCTGGGAAGCATATAAAGTGCTGTTGTAACAGCTGGGTTGTGATCTGAATACTTCTTCTAAATGCTGATTTTTCACACTGGGTTTTAGTTAATTCAGCTAAGCAGAGCATTTTGTGGGTATATTGTTGTACCCTCTGCGGGTGGAAGCAGGTTTTACTTCTAGGCTGGTGTTACTTTCAGAAACTATTTTGGAACTGTCATGCCTAAAGATGGCACTTTTAAAGAAACTGACCAGAGCTAACCTAGAGATTTCTGATTTTTCTTTTTTAACTAGTAATGCTAACTAGTTTGTAATGATTTTGCAGGGCTTTTCTAAAAATTGTACTGTATGTAGGATCACACTACAGATTATCTTACTGATTACACTATTTTCTTGGGAGGAATAGAAAACACTAGCAGATATGCAGGAAAAACACTCCCTTTCTTCTGTGCATCTTCTGTGCATCCTGAAGAATAGTTTTGTGGACAGTTGTGTACTTTCAGGCTTATAGAATATGAATGATTGTTGAAATACAGTCAGGTGAACCTTACCATGTGTGATGAATTGGGAAAAAGCATTTTGGAGTATTGAAAAGTTCTAAAAACAACTGTCTGGGAAAATAAAATGAGAATTCATTTAACTACCCTTTACCTTTTTTTTCAGATACTAGAGAAAAAGAAAAAGTAGCAAGAAAAAAACATCTCATGTAATAACATACTGTAGTAGCAGTTTTAGGAGCCACTGAGTATTTTCAGCATTCTGAAATAATTGATGTAATGTCTTCTAACAACGGATGTACTGAAATCACAGTCTGAAGGAAATCAGAAGAGTTGTTTTGACATATGTCTACTATATAGAGAATCGAGACTTACTTTTTAAAAAAATATTGCCATACAAGAGTATGTAGGCTTGTGGTTCATTCTGATTTAGTTGTGTTATTTAACTCCTTGTGACTGTGTTTTCTTTTCAAAGATTCTGGGAGGTTCAGTTTGATTCTGCCTGGGGGGAGCGTGAAACTTGGAAACAAATTTTCCGCTTTTGGTGGGATTATGCTGTGAAGTAAGGCTTCCTTTGGAGAGTCCAAAGTCCATGCACGTAAAGCGTTGATATCCTAGATTCTAGCTGTGCTTCTCTTGCATCATATTCAGAGTCTTTTCATGGCTCTCCACCCACTATCCATTTACCATTTATCTGGTTTAATGTAAGTTGGTTTGTGTTTTGGCCAGATACTTTGAAGAACAGATTGACAACTGGTTTATGTAAACAAATGAGTTAAAAATAATTTGCTCTTTCAATATGTTATGCCCAGTGTAAGAAGAACTACAATTTGAGAAGAGTTTCCTCCTTTTGCAGGGGCACTTCATTTTGCCAGCACTGTCCTATGTATAATGTCTGTCCTCTGCTTTGATGTTTAATTCCTTATGGTGCAAATCTGACATATTTGGAAGGAGCCTCAGGGGTGCTAACTTCATACCATGGAATAGTTAATGTTCAACTTCGGTTTAATAACCTACATCCTTTTTAGTTAATCTGACAGCTGAAGGAGGAAAGAATGTAGCATCTCAGACTTACAAGTGCCAGTATACTAAGAAATGTAAAGAAATGTGCTAATCTCCTGTAAAGCTGCTGCTTTTAAAGTCTGCCTCCAAGGAAAACAAGCAAAAAGATTGAGCAGAAAAGTAGGGGTGTTAAATTTCTGCCCTTTTGGTAGCTTCATAATACATTTTTGGGGTTTATAACTAGATTAAATGCTACTATATGGTTTCATGTAAATGGGGTGCTGTCTCATTACTATACAATGGTATCTTATGGCAGCATGAATGAGAAATCAAAGTGAATCTCCCATGTGCAAACAAATAAAACCATGTTTCTTGACCCTTTTTCCATCTCTTCTTCTTTGACCATAACATACATCTTCACTTCCCTTGTGTCTTACTGCAGCATGGTTAACTTGTTGAAAAAAGTGGATGCCAACCAGTTGGCAAACATCCTGAACTTACGTAGATGGTGCCTGAACCTTGCAGATGCACATATGGTAATAGCTACAGAGTTTGTGTAGCATCAGTTCTTGTTTGACAGCTTGTACATCATGTAATTGGCTCCATTCCCTTGTAGCTTCAGTTGGAAACTTCCTTGCTTTTAAATATTTGTTTAAGACTTGGGGGAAAATTCTCATGGAGTCTTGAGAGCGTTTGACAGTACTGTCATCTATCTACCCAAGGAAAAGGCCAGCAACTTTGTTAGCCTCAGTCTGCTTGGTAGTGACTTTGCTCTGTGGTTCAGGAAGCTGCTTCAGTCTCTTCAGAGCTTCTGCTATCCTCCTGATTTTCTTTGCTCTATGTAAGTTGTCTGTTTTTTTTTGTAGGTTTTAAGTCATTAATTGCTTTTGAATCCTTTTTTTCCATGCATGGATTTATAGGGAGAATTTATATGGAAATCTGGCCATCTGCAAGATGTCAAATCTCTTTATTCATGCTATTCAATCTAGTGCATGAAAAGCTTTTCTTGAGCATCTGAGAACAGAGTCTCAAAGAATCAGAGCTTCAAAGGACTCTTTGAGGAAGGCTGTCAAGGGGAAAGTCTTCCCAAAATAAAGTTTTCAGATTTTACATATTTTTACTTAAGTGGAGAGTGAGAGCTTTTGTTTGAGACAACAGATTCTGTGCAAACTAAAATGCTTTTGTAAATAACATGCTGGGCTTCTGAGGGGAATCGTGACCAGGCTTAAGCCCTGAAACTCTTGTTTCTGCCAACTTTGATGCTCCTCACAGGAGGCATGATATCTCAGGTGTTGTGAAGCACACTAGTACACAGTTCTTATGGGTGTGAACTGGGAGAGGGAGTTCACCTAAGGTCAGAGCTTTGTATAATGTGGCCAGGGCATTTCAGAGGCTGGTAATATGTGGCATATCAAAGACAGACTCCAGTTCTGGTGAAATCTGAAGACCTTTATTGTGTCTTGCATCTCTTTTATAGTCCACTAAGTGCGAAGCAGTAACTTTCCACTCTCTTACTTCCTTGTCATCCTTTTTCAGCAAAGCTACTAAGGGTTACAGATATTTACATAGTTTGGTCTGTCTTTGAGTTACACATCCTGATTTATCTTGCAAACTGCCTGCTTTGTTTTGCTAACCGATCTTGACACTTCATTGTTTTCTTCACTGTTCCCAAGGCTTAAGCCCAACCAGGGCGATAATGCCTGGATCCATTTCGTTAACTATTTCTGTCCCATCACCCACAGTAATGCCAGGTTTAAAATCGAGCAAGGCCTGATCCTGTATCCTCAGACCACATCATGATTTGTAGTGCTATGGGGGTGCCTTCTTCCAGACAGAAATCATTACCCCAAATCTTTTATAATAGAAGTAGTGGAAATGTGTACTTCAAATCATACCAGACTTACGAAGGAGAGTGGGGGGAGGAAGAGAGGGATCCATTCATGTTGCCACTTGATATATGTATAACTTCCAAACTCCTGAGTGGATGATTTTTCCTATGGGAGGCCCTTCTTTACCTGTAAACAAGTTGGGTTTTCTTACCTTTAAAGGATTTTATAGTTCCATGTGGTTTTGTATTGAAGCCAGTTTTCTGACAGTCCTTAGTCTTATAACTTGTGGCTTTCGTTTTGGGGTTTTGTTTTTTTAACTTCTAGAAAATGAACATGTGAGATTTAGTACTAAAGTTATATCCAAAGTTGTGATTTTTAGCTTTTCTGAATTGTCTAGTAACTATTTGACTGGAAAGATAATCAACCTTCTGTAAAGCTCTTCAGATTTAGAATATACTTGTCAGTCTGTTTCTCACTACTTTTATTGAGGTTTTGTTTTGCTGTATCAATGAAGTGTGCCAGATTTGTTGCTAAAGGCTGAAGATGCAATTTTTAGGCTTTCTAATAATAACTGAAATAGAAGACTTCTTATTTTTAGGTCGAGTCTTTGACAAAAGCTGATTAGCAGAAGCCTCTTTAATTCTACCTCAGTAAAAAATACATAAGCTTGCAAAAAAAGTCATAACCTCACTGCTGTCAACTGTGCATGCAGAATGAAGAACTGACAGATAATTATTCAGGTTTGAAAGTTGCTTTGGGCACTGTAATAGAAATGGGATGAAACCAATTCAGTTGATCCCTGCTATAGTGTTTCAGTAAATTGTTATGGAAAGTACTTTGCTTGATCATTAATGTTGTTTGCACAAGGGAGGATTCGAATTTAGTTCCTAGGTAAAGGATAATCACTATAATCACTTGGTAATTACTCCATTCCTGATTGGTATTAATCATCTCATTGTGCATTCAGTAAACAGTTAGGTGATTGATTGTTGTAGGTGAACCTGCACCATTAATTCATATCCCAAGTGGTAGCTTCATGAATGCTTTGGAGTTGGTACTGAAGTTGTTGTGCAGCATAGTCTTTTGGTAACCGAACGAAAAACCTAAAACCCAACAAAAAAAAAAGCCACAATGAAACAAGACCTTGTGGTTTTGTCATTTTGACCTGGCTAGCTGGTTAAGGCCATACAAACAGATAACAAATAGTCTGCTCAAATACTGAGCATACAGAGGAACAGGAAATTCAAACTTGGGTGTGCTTTCAGTTGCTTAGGAGCAGAACTCTCAGTTATGTTTGTGTAATTACTTTAAATCAGCATCCCATACCCTCATTCAAAGTCCTAGTGGATTAAAGTTATGCTACCACTAACTCCCCAAATAAATCCTTAGTGTCTTCAGAGGAGGACCCTTGGGAGGAAGGCTTGTTACAGGTCATGTAAGGTTCCTTAATGACAGTGTGTCTTTTTCCTCTTAAGGCATCGCTGGCTTCACTCAATGACGGATGACCCTCCAACTACTCATCCACCAGTTTCTCGGAAATTTATCTGGGAGAACCATAAATTCAATCTGAGTGGCACTCCCGGACAGTACGTACCTTACTCCACTACTCGCAAGAAGATACAAGAGTGGGTCCCACCTACAATGGCTAGCAAATAACAGCAAAAAATGTGACTTGCCTTAGCTTTGGCTTTCAGCATAAATTGTATTTTCACTGGTTTTATTCAGAATAAAAGCCTTCTACAACAGCTTTAATTTAGCATATTGAATTGAGGGGGAAATGAGTGGGAAAATATTTGGAAGAGGTAGAGGACAGAATACATGATAAGTCTTAATCTCATCAAGATATCGGGCTTTTCTCGTATTGTCAGTGGCTCCTGTCTTCACACAAGCAGCTCCCAAACACTTTATAGCATGAGAACCATTCCTGTGAGTCACTCCTCACATTTGTACCATTCAACAGAATAAAAATATAAACTTGAAATACAGGATTCTCCTATTTAACATTTATCCTATTATAGTTTCTGCATGGCAAATAATGTACTATTCATGTACTGTTTTAGGAAGTCATCTCTTTAAATATTTATAAGACAAGTTAGAATAATACAGCTAATCAAGGATTATAGTTTTTATTCATAAAATCTTTGTACATGAGTACAAAGTACATGTACAGCATTCATTGCTGTATTACAATATGATATCAGTCATAATACAAAAACTTTTTAAGGTTATAGTAATCAAGTGACATCTCACCCCTTAAAGGAACTTGGCCATATACAGAAGGCCCCCGGTCACGAATACCTGTTTTAATTGCTTCTGTGTTACTGAGATTCATTAGTAGTTAGTCTCACAAAGGTTTGGGAATAGGCGATTGTCCTGGGTTCAGCAGTAGCAGTCATTTGTTCTTCTTCTTAGTAGCTGGTACAGTGCTGTGTTTTTGACTTTCGGCCTGGGAACAGCACTGATAACCCCGATGTTTTTAGTTACTGCTCAAATGTTTTAGTCTGACCAAGGACTTTCTGAGCCTCATGCTCTGCCAGGGAGGAGGCGAAGCTGGGAGGAAGCAGAGACAACACACCTGACCCAAACTGACCAAAGAGGTATTCCATACCACAGCATGTCATTCTGGCATGTAACTGGGAGTGACGCGGAAGGGCACTCGCTGCTTGGTCATGCTCGGACAGCAGGTGGTATCATTCTCTTCCCTTGTTATTTCCCTTATCATTATTATCATTGGTGGTAGCAGCAGTGATTTGTGTTATACCTTAGTTACTGGACTGTTCTTATCTCAACCCGTGGGAGTTACATTCTTTCCATTCTCCTCCCTGTCCCTCCAGGAGCGGGGGAGGAGGGGGAGAAAAGGGGGGGAAGGAGGGGGTGTGGACTGCATGGCTAACTTGATGACAAGGTTTAAACCACAACAGCTATTTGCCTTGGGACAAGACTTTAAAGGTCCTTGAAAGTTGTGAAAGTCATTTTTTTGGGGAGGTGGACAAGTACAATGTACCAGAACCTATTTTCAAAATTGTGCAGTTGCAAGTTCACATTTGAGTGCTCTCTGGGGCTGTGACTCTTTTCTTGCAGTTGGTTGGTTCCTATTCTAGCCTGCTGGTATTTTTTAGCAGACCTACCCTTTCTGCAAGGCCTCCCATATCTCATAACCTAATCTATAGACAGCTGATGGAGGTGGGATGCCTGCCCAGCCCCTCGCTTAGGCCACCACCTCAACTGGATGGGGAAGAAAATAGAAAGCTCGTGGGCAGAGATAACGGTGTGGAGACTGCTTGCCAGTTACCATAATGAGCAAAAGAGACTTTCATTTATTGCCAGTTAAATGCATTTGCGCAGTGAGAAACAGAGGCAAAAAAATCTAATGCGTGGTGGTTCTGTTCTTCCTTAAGCACTCTTTCCCAGAGGCACTGCCATCTTGTCTGCAGGGCTCAGCTGTGCCCTGTGGTGGGTCAGTTGGAACCAGCTGCATCCCCCATGAGGCAGCCCCAGCCTCTCCTCCCAGGGGCTGCCCCTGTGCTCCCTTATTAAATCAAATTCTGCATTAATTCATTACTTAAACGTGGGTTTGTTAGCTGTAATTGCTTTAAATTAGTCTTTAAATTAGTGAGGTAGGGAAGTAGCACTTACTGAGATCTCCTAACCTACCTAATTAAAAAAGGATAACATTTAATTTAAGGCGACAAAAGCATCGAGCATGGCTGAAAAGCAATTTGAGCCATACTGAGCAGCGGACGTGGAAAGGACTCTTTCAACATTTTCACCTTGCTAGATTATTTGACCTTAAGAACAAGTTTGCCTCAGTGCTGCTGAAGAACTTCATTACTAACACTCATCTGTACAAGCCCTGTGAGAACAAACCTGGGTAGAGCAATTAACTCTTACTAGTTTCAGCCTCTGCCTTTTTAATGGGCTTTCTACCTATTTCATTCCTCTTTATTTATCCTGTGGATTTTTTGGATTGCAGCGTGAACACGCATCGGGAGGTACAGTTGGGAATGAACCTCTGTTCAGGAGACAGACAGGGATGCAGTAACTCTTCCTACACCTCCTGTACTGAAGAGAGGCGCTTCAGAGCTGGTTTGTCATTTTGTCAGCTGGAACAGAAATACTGAGGGAGTGAACAGCTTTGTGTGCAGCAATACTGCACAGAAGAGCAAAAAAATGGGCTCATCCTCCTGCCCCGCTGGGCTGAAGCAAGCCTAGGGCTCGGTAGCTTGGTTTGGAAAGTAACAGCAATCCCATTTCTGGAAAGGACAGAAACCCGCTCATCCTGCTTTAATCAGCAGGAACAACAAATGCTGGGTTTTAAACACAGAATTTCACTTACATCTCTTGTAATATTGCCTCTCCAAGGTAGACTGCATAAGGCATTTACAGGACATAAAACATACGCAGAAAAATCAGTGGTCTTCCACAGGGCTCTCTGTAAATGCTTCTGCGATTCAGTCTTTTTATGAGCAACCTCATTCACTTATGGAGGTTCACCTTTGCTCATGACATCTGCCTCAGCATCCAGGCTCAGTTGCTTTCCGGTCTAAATGACATTTTAAGCCAAGCTGGCTGAGTGTCACAGCAGATGGTGTCTTCAGCCAAGTGCAACTGAAGCATTGACAGGAATATTCCCCTTGCACTAAATGTGAGTTTTAGAAGAGGCAACGTTCTGACATGGGAACCATCTCATTAAGAAGACAAGTATCTTTTCCAGGAGGAGAAAAGTGCTGAAACTCATTTTTATTTTCAAATTGTGCCTTTACCAATAGCTTTCTACAGCCCTGCAGTCCAGGGCAGCCTTTCTGCTGTAGCTGCCTCCAGGCTATCGCTGTGCTGACAGCTCAGCCCTGTGCACTGGCACGGAGCCTTTCCCTCAACAGGGCATTGCATCCTTCCTTGCTGCTGCCCAAGGCTGTACCTCTCTGATACAGCCAAAACTGGACATGAGACAGGGTGAAGAATGACAAAGAAAGGAGCTTCAGGAGGCCATCTCCCTACGTGAAGGTCCCAGTCACAACAGGTCAATACTGAGGTGTGCAATACAGCTCTGCAGCACAGATCCTATGGCAGCTGCACCACCAGTCACATGTGCTGAGCCGGCAGTGATGCACAGCAGGACATCCTGCCCAGTCCCCATCACCGGGGATGACTACCAGCAGAGTATTTATCAAGACCCTGGTAGCTGACGGACAGCCTGGGTCAGCACAACACAGCCTTAAAATACTAAGAGCAGGTTCCATCAAGAGCACCCATTGGCAGCACACCGCTCACAAAGCCTCCAGATTTTGACCTTAAGACCCCAGAATCGCCCTGGCTGTCTAGGTCTGGAGCAGGCAGAGGCTGTCTTGCAGACAGAGGACTTGTGCTGTAGGTGAGTACAAACAACACTATTCAATGCTCTTGAGACTTGGTATTAGCTGTGATGTTGAAAGCAGTTAATGAATCCACTGTAGCTGTTGGCAAAACGTCTCTTCATCAGATGAGATAGATGAGAGGCAACACCAGCATCACACTAAAGAGCCTGCAGCAGAGTTATCATTTCATAACAGTTTCTAGCTACAGCAAGAGGACTATTTGGCAGGCAGGGACATCCTAAACCATTTAAGAAAGCTGGAAGGGAGAGGGAGGAGGCCCTGTCCTTTCCTGCCCAACCTGTCCTGTACTACTGACTCCAGCATGCTTTGCCCACCTGGCTCCTTGACGGCACGCTGAAAACACTGAGCTGCTCACCACCTTGCACTTTATGTCATATAAGCTCAGGCTTCAATTTTGGGGATGTTTCCTGCTAAGGTTGGTGCTGGGAAGCAGTCTTGAGTGGGAATTACAGGGACAATTATTTTGGATACAGTTGGAAGTCATCAGCCCAGGAAGCTGGGGTATATATTTTCCACAGCTGTGATGCATTCAGAGTGAAACCTTTGAGTTACTAATTCTATGGGGCTTATTATTCTGCTGGCAAGCGAGGGTGAGAGAGAAAACAGATCCTTGCTCTGCTAAGAGGTTAAAACAACTGCAAGTTTAAAGGCTTTCCCTTCACATGGTGTTCACAAGGGATGTACAAAAGCAGGTACTTTCAGGTGGGGGGTAGGGGTGGAAGCCTTTAAATGGCACTTCAGGTTCCCCATGCAAATCCCACACTAAATGCTGGATTACACCAGTGGGAAGCCTATCTCTTTGGAAGAGCACAGAGCAACCTGTGTCACTGGGGAAGTACCCAGCAGGGATTTCCTCCCAGAGACCTGGTGAGCTTTGAACACCACCCTCAGGTTCCCCAGGGCCCACGCACTGGAGCTAAAGGTGGCTCATGCTTCCAGCCAAATTTCAGTGTGGAATCCAGGAAGGGGAGTGCCTTGCTGTGTGTGCCATTCCCAGCTGCCAGCAGGAGTGTGACCACTCTCAGCCCACAGAGGATCTTGAAGCCCCTAGAGACTTGCTTCTGCTGAAGAACCAGGTCTGGCAACCATTCCGTTTACTTGCAGGTTCGAGTCACATGGACCCAGGTAATGTTATTTCCCAGACTGATGAGTTTTGCAGGCACTTCTAGCCTTGTTCACATGTGACAAATACAAAGGGCAGAATTGAAGCAGGATTTTGAGGAAAAGGAGCATTAAAAAAATTATATATATAATAATCACCTATATGATCATTTGTTTTTTTAAAAAATAAGACTTATAATTTCCTCTATGCATTTTAGTTTGAGGTTTTGATTCATGATTTTTTCCTGTTAAATATTTACAGAGTAAGA